TTCTAATTTCGAGAGCATCACAGAGAGTTGATATGTCACCAGAATGTTGGTGCTTTAACAGCAGAGTTTTGGTGATGCAAATATATTTCTCTCAAAACTGAGATTTTTACCCTATTTTTAGATTTTACAACAGTTTCATGACCAAAACAAGAATTCAGATAAGAGCTCGGAGTAATTTTTTTTTTAAATACGATGTAAAGTAGGCTGGAAGCGGCGCCAACAGCTCTATTTTTTTGTTATTTAGGTCGAGTTCTTCTCCCTTCTTCTTTTTTGTGTATTTTTTTTGCCATGAGTATCTCTGTTTCATTTGTCTGAGATCTGAAGAAACGTCTGGATGAAATTGGTCAAAATATCGTACATTAGAAAAATTAGATGTTTTTTTTTTTAATGCACAACTGACTGAGCTGTTTATAATCACAAGTCAAGATTTTTTTTCCAATCAACGCACGTGTTATCCCAAAATATTGTTTTCATTAAAATATATGGCGACTGCGCGCACTTGAGTGCACAACAGTAAAAAATTCAAGCTTCGAGATAAGATATTTCGCCAACCAGTAAATATTCAATTAAGCGCACTTTTTTTTTAGAATCGCAATTGTTAGCGTCTTTTCTCCTAACTTGGCAGCGACAGAATTATCGCCAATCAGGTATGTGTCGCATTTCGTTAAGTTGCCAGTCGTCCCAACTAGTTACAATGATATTACAAATCGGGCTTAAAAATCATGGTATTTTCGACTTCAATTAATATTTCATCTTCACTCAATGTTAGTTGCTGGGATTTTTTTTTTCATTTCTGCCTGCAGAAAATGTTTTTGACTAAGTCCCTTTCAAAAAACGGGGATGAAATTTCGCGTCCAGAAATGTTATGTCTGAAGTCTTTTTTTTCCATAGTTTCCCGGCGAATGTTTCAAAGTATTTCTCTCAAAAATTATTATTTTCCAACAGAGCATAGGAATATTCCCTTGACTTTACCCTCCTTTTTTTTTTGAAAATAAGAAAAATGTCAATGGCAGCACGGCGGTTCAGCCGCCTGTTGGATCGAGAAGGAAGTCGGAAGTTTGAAAGAGACTGAATATAATCTAATTTGAATTGTTATTATGTTAAAAGCCGCAGGGGGAATCAGGATTTTTCCTGGCATCATCTCCATCCGAAATAATGACTAGGGCAAAATGACAAAATTTTTTTCTGTTAGGGTTTGCATTCGCAAATTTTGTGACATTTTGTTCATTTTTTTTTGATTTATTGTCCATTAGAGTCAAAGAATAAAGCATTGATAGGTGATAAAGCGCTCATACAGATTACCATTTATTCAGTTCGGCATCAGCCAATCCAGCAAACTCTTCGCGCACTTGTTTACGTCGTTTGTAAAGTGTATTCATTTTTTTCAGACCCGTGGGCGGAATACACAGCGCTTATCGTCGGCGAATGTTTTTTTAAAATATTCAGAGACGATTAGTCAAATAGCTCCGCTGACAATCTTTTTTTGTGACTTTCGCGGGGTCAAACAGGAACACATAAAACCCAGCTATCGCTATCTGATGCCGGATAAAATTAAAAACGGAAAAAGTTGTTCACGCAAATGTTGTCTTAAAAGTCTTCAGAGATGATGAGTTTGTAAACAGTTCACAAGCTCTGCCAATGACTTTCACGAGGACAAACAGGAACACATAAACGGCCCCGTTAACGCTATGCTGGATGAATTACGGAACAGAAAAAATTGTGTGCAAATTTATTGGACAAGAATCTCATTGTATGATCAAAACTGCGACAATTTTTTCTTAATCGCAGATAGAGAGCGGAAAGTCTTTTTTGCCTTTGCTGTCGTAAACGAATATTACGTCGTAATATAAGCTTGAATGTGACATGAAAACAGGCATGTATTCTGAGCGAGCAAATAATGCGAAGGCGCCAATATTTTCAGGCAGAAATGGATTTTAAACGAGTCTCTTGTACTAGTATTTCGCACTATAATCGCTATCAACCGTGGTCTAATTTCACTGTGATCTCTTTTTTATTTTATCTACCTTCTCACACTGAGAATTTACAAGGCGTAAAAGTCATAACATTTGTTAACTAGTATTATTGAGTTGCTATCTATCGGTTCGTTCCGGTAATCAGCGATCATCTCTACTCCACACATCGAGAGCAAACAAATTGAAAAAAATATTGTTGTTCAATGAACAGTTCGTAGAGACCAATGAGGTTTGACTACGCTTGTAGGTAATGATAATGATTAAAATAAAACTGAGAACAGTTAGTAAATGTGATCATGAAGGTTTACAATGCGCGCATGTGTAATTTTTAGAAAGAAGATCATCTCTAAGTAATAACAAAAAGCCAATAGATATACCTGGAATTATGTGCCACAATAGGTTTAGTGGATGAGAATGATTAGCGGTTGGTTGTATTTGGCAAAATGTTTTACGAGCTGAAAACTAGCCTTGTTATGTACTGAATAACAAGTAAATGGAATTGATCGATTTTAGCACGTGGATGACAACAAATAACGAGATGATACTCTCAGGTAAACTAAATTTCGTTTCGTTTTGTTTTTGTGGCTAATTCATTTTTTTACAATTAACTGGAGTTCACCTATGAGAAATATTTCTTACCTGTTATCAACTGCAGGTCGAAATTTGACATATTCATAGATTTTTTTGAACAGATTCCTTTACGGAAAATAAGGAATCAACAAAGACTTGCCTCTTTCCCAACGTGTTGTTGATAATTCATTTAATGGCGCCCAACTGGTCTCTAAGAGGCACGGATTCGTACCCTGTCTATTTATCACGCTTTTTTCTGCAATGCCTGCAATTGCAGTTTGCCAGTGAGGCCTCATTTCTTTATTGTTTGTGCACTTTATTGCCTGTAAAATGATTGCAACACAAAGTGTACACCCACGATGGATGTTCATCGATAGTAAATTAATTAATTTCTGTACGGCGAATCTTACTTTATGAGTTGTGTTTAATTTCCGCTCTACTTTGCTATTCATAAGTGATAATTCCTTTTAATTCGCTGACATTGTTTCAAATAAACCTAGAGCTAATTAATTCATCGAGGTGAATTTTTTTTTCATGTTGAGCATCAATCCGAATTTTTAGAGTTGAAAGAATTACGTTTGTTAAAGTTTTCATTTGTAAATGTTTCTCTATTTGCAATTACTGTTGAATGAGAGTAAGTAAAGTTCTATAATGTAGACATGATCAGTGCAGGCAGGGCTTGTTACCCAAGGAATGACTAAAACAACCACAACAGAAAAGATTGAGGAACAATTTACCTCCAATTACACCTCTACAAAACAAACGTTTGTTGAAATTTTGATATGAAGTGTTTGAATTGGAAAGAAAAAATAAAATGATGTAGTTGTGATTAAATCAAATTATACGTGAAGGTATAATTTTTTTCTAGAGGTATGAAATGACTTAATTTCTATCTCGGACCGGAACAGACACGTAGCCTTTTTGCTAAGAACGTTTATGGCTTTGTTTAATTCATGTCACCAGGTATTTTATGGAGAACCTTTGAATACGAAATTATGCCTGAATTAGACCATCTCATCTAGAAAGAGGAAGGGAAACATTTTATGCTCCGATTCATAAAACGTTTGAAGATCCCAAACTATAATTATTTTGGTCCTAATGATATACATGCAAACATTTCATTTCAAACATCCTCATTAGCCGAGAACACATCAGTTAATTAAACAACTTAAGAAGAAATCTTGTATGTAATTTACCGGTAATCACACGATTTTTCTCGTACAATTTGAGATGAATCAGCACTCGTAAATTTTTTAAAGGTTACAAATGACGGGCTCATGCAATTTGGCTAGCCTTCGAAAAAATTTTACAAGTGCTGATTTATCCCAAATTGCACTCGAAATCAGGTGATCACCTATACATGTTGTTCATGCCCCTTTCACAAATATCTTAATCTCCACATCTCCAGGTTATTTGCCATACTTCAATGAAAATTTCTCTGGGTCCATTTATAACCCTGAGTGGACTCTATCTATCGAAATTAAAATAAAACCCAAACAAGTTTATACGATCGAAACTTTTCATCAGACTTTGAAAATTAGATGAACAAAGACGCTTCTAATTCGACGGACAATTCGTTTCATTACATTTTTTCGAGGAATGATTTTAAAACATCAGGCATTAACATTTGTAAGCGACCATCTATTTTCTCCTGTTGGAAACCAAATGAGATAAAATTTAAAATTTTAATCATCTTGGAAATTCCAAATTTTCAGTTTTAAACTTTTAAGACTTTTTGGTATTAAGTCTAATTTTTTGATTAACAAAAATGCGACCAGTTTTTTATTGCGTAGATTGAGCTACGACCCTTTCTTGGGACAGTAATTGGAACTATTACTGACCAAATTGATTGGAAGGACTCTGACTGTTTTGAGTCGTCTCACGGTCTATAATTAACACCAGTTCTGTAATAATGGGCATTTATGGAAGCGAATTCAATAACTACGTAAACCTTGGATTACATTTAAAACTTAGAATGGAAATCAAAGAGTTCTTTCTAAATGATACAAATACAACATTCATATTTTATTTTGCTCCTCTGTTTGCTTTTAATAAAACCTGCCTGCATCATTTTGAGAAAGCATGAAAAATTAATACCGTAATGATCAGAGGAGACTGAAGTTTCATCAAACTTACAAATTGAAATGTCAAGTTTAATTTATATTTGTTTCCAAAATAGCTTGAAAGAAATTCAGCTGTCCATACTGGCAATTTTAATTTCGATTGTAAATTTTCACTTATTCTTCTTAAATAACAAAGTATGATTTTTACTTTTATGCGCATATCGTCTTTCCTTTAGAATCTGCTGCGAGCAGATGATAAACTTAATCCTTACAATAGTTTTTTGAACAGCAATCTCTGCTCAGAGGAAGTTAGAACCCAGCGAGCTAAAGCTATCTCATTATTTACTTTAATTTTGTATTACAATTAACGATGCCATCTTTGATTTTCTTGTAGACGTTGTGTCTAAGGTGTTGAAGTGAACAATGAAACAACGACAGACCAACGATTAATCTCCATCGAAGCAATTTAAACTGACAAGAATCTGTGCAAGTTTTAGTTGCAACTCTTACCATACTGAGGTGTTGATTTTACCCCTTGTTTCTCAAAAGGATTACCAAGCTGAACTCAGGAAGTTTTTCGAAAAACCCTTGAACGCGAGTTATCGAATCAAGCTGACGTAAACAATTTCCTCATTGTGGCTGTAGATCAAAGAAACGAATGTCATGAGCGCCAACAGCAACTCTAGTTCGAATCCGCCAGACAAGTTCGACACCACTCATATCGCCCTGTCGTGTACATTTGTAGTGTTGATAATTCTTTTAGCTATCGTGGGCAACACATGTGTCATCCTGGCATTTAAAAGATTCCGTCGACTTCGTCGTGTCACAAACTACTTTGTTGTTTCACTGGCTCTAACAGATATTCTGGTGGCTGTGATATCTATGCCAGTGTGGGCAGCTTACATAATATCTGGTCCATCGTTGTTTATACAAAGGCAGTTGATACAAATACTGTGGACCTCGACAGACATCATGGTCAGTGTGGCTTCAATATGGCACTTAACTTTTGTCAGTATCGACCGTTACATATGTATAACGGGACCGCTGTATTATCATACACGTATGACCAGCAAGCGGGCTATATTGACGCTTGGGACCATATGGTGCTACTCAATCGTAGTGGCCTCTTTAGCGCCTACTTTCTGGGAGTTGGATCTCTACACCTTGATGATGGTTGTGCTGAATTATGCAGTCCCTGTCATTATAATCCTCTTTGCATACCTGAATATCTTCAGAGCTGCTCGTTATCAAGGAAAACAAATCGAGTTGACCATCAATGGAAAGGAAAGGCGTTTTTCAATTAGCGCCGAGGTAAAGGCAGCAAAGACGCTTGGAGTGGTGATTGGCGCTTTCATCATTTGTTGGTCTCCTTTTTTCGCGCTTAACTTAAACTACTACATCTGCCATTGTCCCCCACCCCCTCTAGTTGTTTCAGTTGCCAAGTGGATGCATTTTGGAAATTCCATGCTCAATCCTCTTATCTACGGAGTAATGAACAAGGATTTCAGAAACGCCTTCAAGAGTCTATTTACAGACCATTTTCAGAAAGCTTCTGGGTTGAAAGGCCGCAGCATGGGGACAAATGCAGATCAAAACAGCCGTGGAAGCAACGAAGAAGAAGACAAGATTCATTTGCAGAGTGACACAGGACTATAGCTTGAATTACGTTGTTATTGTTTTATATCGAGTGAAAGTGTGATTTTGCATTGACCATCATCTACAAAAAAAATTCGATATTTTCCACCAATGTTGCATTCTGGGTTAAGGGCACGCTTAGAACTGTTCGAGTAAATTTCATTACAATTGTATAAGTGTACTTTCGAAGTCTCCAATCGAAAAAAAAATGAATAACCCCTTGAAAGAACAGTTGAGTATGTCAAAAGGTGCCTTTTATTTACTTCGAGGAACGAAAATATGTAACAATAGCATCACTTAGAGGCTCCACCCGCATCTTTCAAATAATATTTTACTAATAATAAAAAATATATTATTGTGCTCCTCATAGTAAAATATTTTCCCGTCTTAAGGGGAATCAGTCGTTCAACATGACAACCCCATCTTGTTTTATAGCAGTCGTATTTACTTTAGTATGATCGTCAAATTACGAGGTAGAGATATTTATAATGTTCTCAGTGTTTTATCAATGACAAGTTGTGTTTGCCAATATACTTGATGCAATCCTTGACGTCTAACAGCTCGTAGATCTTTATAGTCACTTAATAAAAGGCCGTTGTACAAGTTGTTGAGTCAAGGAATTCAACCATCGAGAAAGTTGTTAAGACATTTGTGGTGTATTTAATACTGACATTAACAGTGTGTAAAACTCCGGGTTACAGCTCACACATGGCAGGAAAACTCAACTAACTCAATCGCACACAACCTTCTAGTCACGTGACGACTCTACTAGTCCCAGGACCCCACAACATTTCAGTAGAACTAGAACACTTCAGAGGCTCTTTTGTTTGCCCTCGTTGGTGAAAAATCAAAGGTGTCGTCAAATTTAAGCAAGGTAAAAAAACACTTGGAGCCATACCAGCCGTGGGTTAGTTTTAGGCTCTCCTCTTTGAGTTATCCAAAAATAAATCTGCTGCCACCGACAAGACTGAGGACAAAATGAAGTTTTCTCCAAGATTTTAAACAGATAGAACAATGCCATCGATGACGTCATCTATTCAGTCCCTTTAGTTAAGAACCAAACAAAATGCGTGCTGTATTAACATCCGTAGCAGTACTTTTATTCCTTGTGTTCATCTTAACTTGAAAAAAAAAAAACAATTCTAGTATTTTTTATTATCGCTTAGTCAGCAAGCCAGTTAGAATTAGAACTGAATTTTGCAGGTATTCTTGCCTCTCTGAACTATATTTAGCTTTATCTCGGAAAAGCGAAAATTTAATTTTACGCTTTGTAATGAATTTGTAATTTGTTAGTGCATCTGCAAATCAAGCTATTGGAAAGTTTTTATTGACTCCATCTGCTATGTGAGGAGAGCGCATAGATGAGAAATATTCAATGAACATTGCATGCATGAATTGACCTTTGTCCTATTGTCTTCTTGGTTTATCTAGAGGCAAATAATATCACTTAAGCAGAAAGTGGTTCTTCCAACGTGAGTGTGTCTAGCCATTTGTTTTTCATTTGTCACTATAGGCGCTGAGTTTGCATAAATATTTCCCTTAAATATTCCGACGTTCCTCGTGGGCACTTGTGGGCAACTTGGAAGCAAAAAATGAAAAGATGAATGATAAATTATTTGGACAAAACAGCTTGAGCGAAAATAGAAATTACCACCATGAAACAGCAAAGACAAATATCAAAATCAGTTCAGTAGTTATTCAATGTCCTCTGAACTGGTTCTTCTAAGACACCATTCAAGAAGAAAAAGTAGAAAATCTGGAAAATCTTAACATGGCACCAAGCCAGACAGATGAAAGGTAAGCCTAATTTAATTAAAAATTCACATCCTCAAGTGGATATCATGATCCGTAAGTAATCCAAAATGACAGTAAATCTGTAGATTTTATAACATTGAACGTCACTGCACCCAAGAGTTGGCGACGTCAACTCGAGTAGAAAGTGTAATTCTCGCACGTAGATGCTGTATTTTTTTCCCCGGGAAGGAAAAGACTTTGGTGTTCATACCAGCTTGGTGAGTATGCAAGACACTGTTGGAAGACATGCGTGTATCGGATAGCAAAAACTTTGAATCTAACTGAGGTTTCTTTGTCTACAACATTGCGTTCTAGGATTGTTTTTAGAGGGCACTGATTCACGGGTTTTTTAATCCTTGTTTTTTTTTAAGTAATTTATTTAATTAAACTAATTCGGGATGTCGAACTGGAGAAAAAAGATGATAACGGGTTGTTTTATCTCCATTTGTTCTCCCCACCCGTCGGGCAAAATATTCTCGTCCTTAAAGGGAGATGTAAAATTGCATGCATCTATGATTTAGCTATTCTTCATTTCAAATTTCGAAAATGGAGCGCCATTCAATACTGTAGCAATAGGTTCTGAATCCCACTGAATCAGACTTTGTTTCAGGACTCGTGCAGGCAGGAATGTTTATTTGTTTTAATTTTCCCACATAACTCATCGACTTTGCATTTTCATTTAGCCTTCCGATGACGTCATCATCGATTAGTTTTGCCAATTATTTCTCTTTACTACATTACTAAAGAATAAAAAAAGGCTCCAAGTGCTTCCTGATCTTGAATGACAGTTCGCACTTTCTTCGACTGAAAGGCAAACTTTGTTGAGCACCGGATTACTCTTATTTGTGAGGTTTCTCGAGATATCTTGGTAATTTATTGTAGTATTTATGTGTTCCTTTATTCCTTTGTTTAACAACCGTCTTCATGGTCTTTTATTTCCACGAATGTTGAAAATTACTGAACTTCCAGGTGGTTTTGATTGCGGCCTTTCTCGCTCTAAGAATAGAGTGTCACATGGCCCTCTTGCTGTGTATTAAAATGACTTTTTACTCGGGCTTCCGTAGGAAAGCCCGAGTCTAAAAATGCAAGCCGTTCTTGGTCGCCAAAAGGGTTCTTGGTCGCCAAAAGGGTTCTCGGTCGCCAAAAGGGGGGTCATGGTCCCAGGCGTTCCTTACTTAAACCGTGGAAACTAGGGATGAAAGTGCGACAACTTGTGTTGTCACGTGCTCGCTTTTCGTAAATAACATAATTTACAGAATGCCGTGTTTCGTGAAGACCGCTCATCTCGCATACAAACACTAAACAAATGAGCCATATGTAAAGTTCAAATTACGAAAATTCTGGCAAAACTGGAACAGCCGATGTAACAACAAACTATGATGCTGAGACGAAAACCTCACTGAAAAAATTAGAATGTTCGCGAGCACAACTTCGAAGGTGGCGCTAACAACAGCGAATTGGATTAGGATATTGACAGAAGCAACTTGAATAGCAAGGTTAAAGATTTAAGATCAGCTCTTCCGTTAAATATCCTGTTTCTGTTTTTGGTTTTTATTGGATTCAATTCTCGTAAAGTACGATTTGGTATTTCTTACATAACCACTATTATTATTATACAAGCGATCGTGAATGTTGGTTAATTTGCTCAGTCTTCGCCTGGAGTTGTTAGTGCTTATAGAAGACATGATGATTACTATGATCTACTCGAAAAAGTTGTCAATATGACTAATGGACAGGAACATAATGATGTTACACTGTCAATAAAAGTACAACAATTCAGATCTCGGTATGCATAGTATGTAAAAAAAATAATAATCTTTATTTAGCAATAATTTCCATAAAATCCTCTACAATACAAAATATGAACAACGTAAAAAACGATCCAAAATAACTCACTTTCGGCTCACATCTACTCCTTTTTTTTTAATGTCAAAGCGTCTGGAAAACTATAAATAACGGAGTCGAATCTGAACAGATTCAAAGTCTAATAATCTGATAAGTAAAAGCATATCTAAAACTATACAGAAAAGAGAAAGGTGAATGGCAAATCTAGAACCCTTTATACAAGGCTGCTAAAAATCATTAAACAATGTCAATGGCTCCCTAGTATGTATTTTATAATTGTACTCATGTTTTGTGCGAATGCTATAGCATTAAACGAAGCCCGAGTGAACCCTCCTCGAGCGTCTAGTTATTATAGAAAGACTGAGAGATGTGAAAACTTATTATTTTTCTATTAGCTTTTTGGTCGTAACACGAAAAGTTGCCCAAAGATGAATACGTTACTTGAAAATTTGCATTATTCAAGTAATTTTAAATGTTTAAAAAAGTTGTTAGCAATAAAAGTAAACGAAATTCTAAACCACATCTTCCATTGATATTTGAGGAATTTTGAATCAGTTGCATTTCTGGTATTATTTGATTTTTGTAACCTTCCAAGCTTTTAATGCTCATCCGAATTGCATGTTGTAATTAAAAACTTGATTTTCGAAATGCAATTAGTTTGTTAAGATCTTTCTGACAGATGAGTGAACAACGAGAGAAAGATAAAACATCTTTCTTTTGAAAACTTGATGAAAAATTTCTCATTTCTTTACGACTGTTGTTGATCAGGCCAGTCTTATTAATTAGTGTTTTCCAATTTCAATGCAATATGAAAAGTCAGAACTAGATTGGATAAACTGGTACAATACCTTTGTCCAAATGAATGATCGGTTTTGTGTAAATGTTGTGTTGCCATGGTTTTTGTAGCTCATTACATGTGCTAACGGAAAATACAGGTAAAAATATTTGAATTTTCTTCTTTGAAAAATTGCAAACTGTCCATTTAACGTGACAAATTTCCTGACATACATGCTTAATTAATATTTTTTGTTTAATTACATTCTCATAAGTTATTGTTCTTGTGGAAACTTAAAAAGTGTCAAACGAAATGAATTCAGCATATGAGTTCACATGTCAGCCGGCCTTGAACAGTTTGACGACATGGTATAAGATTTCAAAGTTATGAGACCGGTAAGTAAAAATGAACCTAAAGGTTATAAAAGCAATACAAGAGTAATCGTTGAAATGTTAAAGGCCCTATGCTAAAAATTACATGACACAATCCAATTAGCGAGTAAACGCTTTCCCTGAAATCGTTAGAACGTTTTTTCCCCTTTCGATCGCTTTAGCATGACAAATCGAGTTTGCACAATCTGCTTGCAACATTTCCTGTTTAGTACCACTGATTTGAAACAAGTTTAGAACGTACACATAAAAGATATCTTACATGTCTAACTGGGCACGATACAAGTTTAGTATCTTGTACCTGCATAGATAAAATACGCCGACGAATCTTACATTTATGGAATACAATTAACTGCAAAACAATTAAAACGTTCAATTCGTCCAACTTTAATATTTTGTTCAGGTAACTTTACTTTAAACATTATTAAGTTGTCGATAATATGTAAAGCAGCTTTATTCAGGAATTCAAGCTCAAGATCAGCAAGGTGATAAGACTAAGACGTTTTGAGGAAAATATGTGAAATAGCTGAGAACTTACTGAGTTAATTTGAAGAAGAAATGAAGAAATGAAGAAATGAAAAATAACTGTTAAAGGCGCTAATTTCATGGCAAAATCTTAAGCCACACATGTGATATTTCCGATTAAGGTACATATTCGGTGAAATTCCAGTTAGGAATTACCTTCAAGCACGTGCCTGTGTACCAACCCGAGCATGGAAGCAGTTGTTTTTCAGGGTTCAATTCAACAGTAAACGTTCTTCTGCGGTTTTGTCGCAAATCGGAGATGGTGTCAACGGTAAATTGAATGTGGTTATTCGGTGTTGACGAATTTTCCCTAAAAAATATAGTGTCCAACTGTTTGACTCGAACAGTTTGAGCGAAAAAGGGCGATTTATCCGAGATAGCATAAAGGCCTGGTGTAAGATAATTGTTCCAAATGAACGCTTTTTTCTTCGCGTTTGTTGAATTAATTCTACAAAATGATGCTTTGGTATCACAAAAGGAGTAAAAAATGAACGGGAAGGTTAAACGAAGAATTACAAATTTCCTCGCTGTCAGCTGTTTGAGCTCTAAGTTCCTGTTTGCATGCTTTTAAGTTGCCAAGAACTCAGTCTCCTTTTTTTTCTCTTAGCTCGTAAAAAATTCGCTTTCTATATGTCCCGAACATCTGCCTTATTTTGTTCTTTTTCTCTCTATTCATCGTCTTGAAATCTGTTTCTTCATTTATTCCTTTTTTTCGGTTTTTACAATGATGGATGATCTTTCGGAACATGACGATTACAGAGTAGTTATTAAACAATTTCATGTCGGCTGTAATCCCACAAACAGCATGCACAACACAATTACCGGAATAAATTTCCGTTTAAAAATTGTCCTTGCATGTGAAGCCTAAGTAATTTGAGATTATTTTTATATGAAAGCCATTAACGATTACGGGATTTTCGGCTTTAGAATGGATTCAAATGCTTGTCAACTCAATGAATCATATTCCCTTCAGGTAAACGCCAGCCTCCCATGTGCACAGATCACTTCGATGAATTCAAGACAAATAGGAAAAGTAAGAATAACAGCTCAGCCGATGATTGATATCAACGCATTTCAATTCAGTCGAATACGATGAAAAGGTTATAAATAGTTGTTTTTCCTGCTGTAACTCACAGGAAACTTAAATTCGCCAAATTTAATTTAATTTTTTGTAAAAAGGGCGCTTTTCGAGTGAGTGTCGTAAAACCAAAACCAAGGCTTTTACGACGGCCAATCAAAAGAAAGGAAAATACTCGGAAGACCGAATGAGAATTTAAGGCAAGCAAACTGCCTCAGTAAAGCGCGGGAAAACGCGGGCGGTCAATTCGTTGTTGTAGTTAATTTGGAATTTGATTGGTTGATAAGGTGATGCGTTTTTTTGTGGACCAATCACAGAGCAAAGTAAAGCGAAACCATGGCAGTCCCGGATCTCAATTGAAAGTTGCTTTAATGCAGGCGTAGTCTTTTTAACATTTCTTGCTATCGAAATCAACTCCAGATTTAGATCGATCTGTTTTGCAACGATTTCAATAGAATTGTTTGGGGAGACTTATTTGGCCAGGATGTATGAGGGGAGAAGGTTTCTCTGCATCTCATCTTGCGACGAACTTTATCTTCTAAGGCTCATTTCAAACTGAGCACGGAATCTCTCCCTTGCCTTGCCAATTCACGCCAATTTGATTCTACTGCCATGGAGAAGCAGGAAATTTGGGTAACTCTCTTTCATTTCCAACTGAGCAGGGAGCCTCTCGCGTCAATGCCAATCGCAATTTGATTCTACATCGACGGGGAAGCAAGAAATTTAACTCTCTTTCTTAATAACAAAAGCAAAACTTACCGCAGTTGAAAGCTTTCTCAAGGTTAAAAGGAATTGACAGTGATGAAAAGACTCTTGATTGCGTATAATCCTCTGCACTGAAACTGAAAGATAGTCGGTAATTTCACATCTACAGCCTGACACAACGTTACCACATTTAAAAAAAAACAATGGAATGAGATTGGAAAATTTTTAGAACATTGAATTCAAATTGCTCACACAAAAAAATACAAGCATACATTGGTGATAGCGTGCGAGACGGTTAGAGGACGAGTTAATGGCTTCGGAATGAATCTTCCGCCGGATTGTAAATAACCGCCTACAAACAAGTGAAATGTTAATTGAGGGTTTTGTTGTAGGCATTCATGAGTCCCAGCGTTCTCGGAAGAAACTCAATTTATTGGTGACAGATGTGATGTCGTGAGAGATTAAGGCTTTTAATGCAGCCTTGAGTGTTCTGCATTAAGTGCTTTTCTTGAAATGGTCTGACTTATAACATCACTTATAGACATTAAATATACTTTGAGGTCTTCTCTTACGCATTAATGTTTCTCTGCGAGTGAAATTTGGACGTCAGTTTGGTTAACTTGTCCATCATGGTCTCAGATTAAGACATTACGGGCGTTTTAAGGTTTTATATTACGTAGTAATGCGTGATGCACTTTTCCAATTGATTTGACAAAGGCAGAAAGCCCTTACTACCTTACATTTTGCCTACAGCGTCTCAAACTCACCGGTCGTATCCCGCAAGACAGATCAAATTGACAAAAAAGGCCACTGAAAGAAGAAAGGAGAAGAAAACCAGGATAAAAAAAAAAGTATAGGAAAAGATAACAGCCGGATATGGCAAACGGTAACCGTTCAAATTCATCTTCAAACTCTCTGAGAGAATTTTCTGACGAATTTCGCATTGGAACTGCCACATTCACCATTGTTCTTATCTTGGCTACAGTATTTGGAAACGTTCTCGTCGTTGTCGCGTTTTCACGCTTCGCGCGGATCCGTACAGTGACAAACTACTTTGTTGTGTCATTAGCATGCACTGATCTCTGTGTGGCGTTATTCTCTATACCTGTATGGGTGGTATATCTCCTAACAGGACCCGTGTGGGTATTTGAGGAAGACTTGTCACGTGTTTGGACCATGGTGGACATTCTAATAGGTACCGCATCCATCATGAATTTAATGGCGATCAGTTTTGATCGGGTTCTTTCCATCGTAACGACCATGCGTTATTCTGTTATCATGACTTCACGGAGAGCGATCTTTATCATATGCTGCGCTTGGATCTATTCTTCATGCATGGCCACTGCAGGCTTCTTTCTGTACGCTAAGCGCATTTTCAACCTCGTCGCTTTAATCATGTGCTTCTGCGTTCCACTGCTGGTAATAATCACTGCATACTCAATTGTGCTGAAAGTGGCGCTATATCACGTGAAACAAATACACGCAACAACGCCTGTGCAGTACCCAAGGAGTCATTATAACTTTTTAAGGGAGCTCAAAGCTGCTAAGACATTGGGAGTTGTTGTTGGCGCGTTTGTGGTATGTTGGCTGCCATTTGTTGTGATAAACATAATTTACAGTTTATGCGAGCCAAAGCACTGTCCTGTTGTCAATCCACAAGTGATATTGGTGACCAAGTGGATGCATTATGGTAATTCAATGATAAATCCCATAATATACACTGCCAAGAACAATGATTTTAGAAAAGCTTTCAAGACTTTAATTTTCGCATCAAATGCTCTCCTTTAAGGTGAAGTACCGTAGTCACTAGCAAAAATCCAACAAACAAAAACGAAGGAGAAAAATAGTGACTCACAGAAAGCAATTGTCTTTTAAAGCTCTATCAGCTTTCGTTTACTTGTGTTCTCCACCTCATATCAGAACTGCCCCTAAATCATAGATGTTAAAAAAAATAGAAAAAAAAAACGTCGAATGGTTACGATGATTATGGAAAATTCATAGCAGTTTTAAAATGCGCAGCACTTCCATCAGTGGAAATTTAGTTCGCGCATGTTAGATTGAATTTGAAATTTGGAACCGCTAAAAATTGAAGGTAAGATGGCTCAACAAGTGTATGTATGCGCCTTGCCTGAGGAAATAGCAAATTTACGCGCAGACATTGTCTTCTGCAGACATTGTCTCTGGTTGATGTTCAGTCTGAATGAATTGCATGTGCAGAATAGTAATTGAAAGTGGCGGCTTAAAGGTGTCTTTTTTTAAAGTGATACAGACAAGATTTCGTATAGTCTCCTTCGCACGCAGCCGCTTTTTGGAATGTCACGCAACCTCCCACTGCAACATTTCTTTCGGGGAAGCGTTGCGTGACATCTAAAAAAAAACTTATGCGTAGGAGATAGTTTTCGAATTGATTCGAATTTTTCTCTGCATAAACTGACAAATCTGGCTTTAACTCTCCCGTTTACTGTTGATTTCTGCACCACGACGTTTTAATCCGAATTGTTTTGAGCGGTGTGATCTGCGATTTCACTTCAGCACCGAAATGACAAATAAGTCGTCCATTTCCTCTCTAACCCTCTTTGAAATAATTCCCCTGAACCACGTGGGTATTATGTATGAGCCTCTAATGCGATTTATTTTCTCAAGTGCTATAGTAAATGAATAAAGTTGTTACAGTACTCCCCTTGGAACCAAAACTGCAGCCTTCCAGAATTTCTGCTCAAAATCGAATGCTCAGTTCAAAATTCAAAATGGAGTCGCATAGCGGCCGATCTCAACACAATTATGAAAAGCGTCTTCAATGGAGTTAAAAACAATTCGGATTAAAACACTAACCTCTGTAAGATTTTCAGTAATGTTTCAAGTATTCTCTTGTGGTTGTTGCTTTGCTGGAAAAAATTCGGGCCTTTTCCAATTTGCAACCTAAGTTTTCAATGAAAACTTCTTAACGGCTTACGGTAATTTGCGAAACGAAACAAAACGAAACGAAACAAGGTTCGCAGACAATTTCTTTAGGCGCTCTGCTCCTGAAAATTGTCTTGCCAGATAAAGCAAAGACAAGCTTACAGACGCGGCAAGAAATTCAAGTATTCCCTCTCTTCGAAAACTGTTCTCGCTAGATGCCTTGTTTCGCAAAATACCAATAACGGCCGATTAGTAGGCGACGAAGCAAGGTTCGCTAACCATTTTTTTAGACGCTCTGCTTCTGAAATTATCTTGCGATAGAAAGCAAATGCAGCCTTAGAAATGACACGAAAAATTTGCCCTCTCTTCGAAATATATTGTTACGCAGCCATTTGCATTGCATACTATTTCCCGCCATTTGCAGTATTACGAACACCATCAAGAACAAAACAGTATCCTTTAATTGCATTATGTTGGTTGATCGTGTGTTATGTTGCGACACTTAAGGCACAATATATTGGTTAACATATTCAAGCGCCAAGAAAATCCTCAACACTAATAACACACTGATCGCAACGTAGATAGGGAACACCATAAAATCTGATACATGTGACTTAGAACGGAAGTGTCACGCATTCTCTCGCGTGAGAATGAATAGTAAATAATTGTACACTAGGACAAGAGAGAACAAGGGTCGCAAAATATAAATTGTTGAAACCTATCCACTGGACTAAGCCTCTGGCAAAAATTTAAAAAAATTTGTAGGTTTTAATAACAATATAAAAAATACATACGAACTGGTAGACATTCTACAGCAATGTCAAAGGGCAGATTTTTGTATTCCTCTTTGATACGAATTAGTCACCTATTTCCCTAACAAGATCTGTATCAAGATAATTTTCGGAAGCAGAGCGCCAGTAAATATAGTTTATTTGTCAGCGAATCGTGTTTCGTCGAGTACCAATCGGCCGCTATTAGTATTTTGCGAAACAAGGCATTTGCTTTATCTAATAAGATAATTTTCGGGAGCAGAGCGCCAAAAGAAGTTGACTGCGAACCTTGTTTCGTTTCGTTTCGTTTCGTTTCGTTTCGTTTCCTTTCGTTTCGCAAAATACTATAAGCCGGCCGTTATTGGTATTTTGCGAAACAAGGCATCTAGCGAGAACAGTTTTCGAAGAGAGGGAATACTTGAATTTCTTGCCGTGTCTGTAAGCCTGTCTTTGCTTTATCTGGCAAGACAATTTTCGGGAGCAGAGCGCCTTAAGAAATTTTCTGCGAACCTTGTTTCGTTTCGTTTCGCAAATTACCGTAAACCCTTCTTAACTGGCCATGAGCAGCTGAACTTTTAAGAGCCAACTACACTGTATGTACGTATGATGCACGATCCTCGCAGTAGAGAGCGCTATTTATGCCATAGCGAAAATCAGACCTGAAAAAAATCAGGCCTGTACGGGATTCGAACCACTGACCTCTGCGATACTAGTGCAGCGCTCTACCAATCGAGCTAACAAGCCAACTGGGAGCAGGCCGTTAAGTTGATTCGTAATAAACCCGCGATGATAAATCAGATACAATGAATATATGAAGTTCATATATTTTGAACTGCGGTTGTAGATACGTATGATGCACGATCCTCGCAATAGAGAGCTGTACGTATCAGTAAGAAACTATTCTCTGTTAACCGACCATGGCCATATTTTTCGCTGGTATGTATTTAAAAAATTATTCAGGGCTGAAAACTTTATTAAGGGCATATCACTATGTACAGCAAAAAATAAAATGCAATGAAATCACACAATGTTGAGAACAAATTTACAATAAGCAATGAGATTTTTGCGTGACACCCCAGAAAACTGCCATGAAGGAGATAGATTTTGAATTGATTCGAATTTTTCTTTCAATAAACAAACGAAGCTGGCTTTAACTCTCTCTTTTTTTGTTAGTTTCGTCACCACGACGTTTTAATCCGAATTGTTTTAAGTCGTGAAATCTGGGATTTCACTATAACACCGAAATGATAAATAGGGCGTCCATTTCCTCTCTGACCTTCTTTGAAATAGTTCTCCTGAAATACGCGAGTATTATGTATGCAACTCCAATGTAATTTATTTCTTCAAATGCTATAATGGACGATTAAAAGTGTTGCAGTACCCTTTGGAACCAAAACTGCAGTCTTCCAGACTTTCTGCTCCAAATCTAATGCCCAGGTCGTAATTCAAGATGGACTCGCATAGCGGCCGATCTCAACAAACTTATCGCGTCTTCAATGAGGTTACAAACAAGTAGGATTAAAACACCAACCGCTGTAAGATGTTCAGAAAAGTTTCAAGACCTCTTTTGTGGTTGTTGCTTTGCTGGAAAAAATTCGGGCCTTTTCAAATTCGCAATCAAGGTTTTCAAAGAAAACTTCTTACGTGGTCACGAGCAGCTGTTGCATGAAGGAAAAATTAGGGGTGTCTATAGACTGCGGTGTCACTCTGTTAATCTTCCATTCCAAAAAGTGATCACAACAACTGAAATAACAAAGGATTTTCAAAAAAGTGGAAAGATCGACCCATTAAATAATCAATTTGACGAAATAACGAAGTTGTACAGTTGAGCCAAAACAACGAGCAGTCCTTCCTTTTCGGCGAAATCGTCGCTCGAGTTAAAAGAAATTCAGCGAAAAAAAATTAATGTTGGCCCCAATCAGATTTAACATCGATTTTTTTTCCGATAATTTTTTGTACTCGCGTGACGATGAAGTGGATCCGTGGTACAAGCATTCAGAAACTACTGCCTGTTAACCGACTATGGCTATTTTTTTTTAAGCAGGTATGTTCTTAGGAACATACAAAGGGCTGAAAAATTTATTAAGGACATATTTTTATGAGCAGAAAAAAAAATGCGATGGAATCACTCGATGTTGAAAAAAATTTACAATAACAATTAAAATTTTTGATAGATTATATCATTCCTTCGAGAAACTGGCTTCTTATCCACCCATATTCTCTGAGGAATCGCATGATTGAATAAAATCACGCATTCTGATTGGTTAACGAAGCGAGGTCTTTAGCGTGGAATTGCGAGTTGAAAACGAAGCTAGGTGATTTTGTTTCGCATCTACGTATACATAACAACTATGAGTAATTCCTTTTTTTGTTTTTTTCCTTGTTTTTTTCAATTATGCGATTCAAGGAAAATCCATCACTTGACTCGTGAATTCCGCGTTAAATTGCACGCGAAAATCGATATCGCGCTCATCGCTTCGTGATTCGTGCGATATTGGTTTTCTCGTGCAATCTAACGCGGAATTCCCTCGTCAAGTAATGAATTTTCCTATAAAATCTACCACTTATCTTAACTCGCGCACGATTTGCTTTAGAGGGTGACTAGATGGAATAAGCTCTCGCTGAAACTGGGCCGGGAGTATCCCCTGATATTACTCATCTAAGATTTCCCAAATTTCAGACCACTCCTCCAATATAATGTAAGTCGGCATGTAAAATTTGATCAAAGATTTTGCGTTTGGTTGCTAATTTGGGCAATATTTATTCCATTTATATTCTATATTATTAAAATCTGGATCATTGAATAATGCGATTCAAGACTTTTTATTGGCTTAGCCATTATGGTATATGAGCCAATATACCATAATCTAATATCTGTACATTGTAATATCCGGTTTCTTCTTACAAAATAAACTCGAGAAGATTTGTCTAATATCTTCCTTGAGGTGTTTTTTTTTAATAAAACAATTATTCCACTCACGCTTGTTGGATATGAGATAATTATAGCCAACGAGGCGCTACGCGCCTCGTTGGCTATCTATCATCTCATATCCAACGCGCGCTCGTGGAATAATTGTTAAATAGTATTCTATATGGGTTACCAGCTGAACAAATAGCAAAATTACAACGGCTCCAGAATTCCGCAGCAAGAATTATTTTTAGGATTCCAAGGTTTTATCACATTTCACCAATTTTGCGTACCCTTCATTGGCTTCCAGTAGAATTTAGGATTCAATTTAAGATTATTACAATTACTTTTAAGGCGATGATGGACAAGCTCCAGTATATCTACAATAACTCATTAGCCAAAAGGAAGAAAAGAGATGCAATTTAACATCGTGTGCAATGGGAAGCATGCCTCAAACGCCAAGAACTTTAACTGAAAAGACATAAGGAGACCGCGCTTTTTTAGCTGCGGCACCTAAATTGTGGAATGGGTTACCATCACAAATACGAAATGAGCATGATTTTAATAGGTTCAAAGGATTACTAAGACCCATCTTTTTAGATTAGCTTTTTACTAGGACTATTTTTATACTATGTATATATTATATTTTTATAGATCCATTGCCTTTTTATAATATTTTTATTTATTCTGGATAACTTATTAATGTCGATAATTTAATTTCATACAATGCACATTTGATCATATGTTGTATGTATTTTGCGCAATATAAATATGAAAGTTGTTGTTTGGGCAATATTAAAAATCGGAAGTCTTCGAAGCATAAGAAATAGGAGGTTGGTTCGAAACCAACATTCTTATAGGAAAAAAGTACTAAATCTTCTTTTTATATCTCTCATTAGTTCTCTTCCTCGGCAAGGCTAGTTACAGTAGTTTAAATTTTATCTGACCTAATTTATTGCTTTGGTTTGTCACACAACGGTCTAAACAGTGTGACTGTAGGTTGCGTGACAATTGCAAGTTATGTTGTCTATATTGTATGTCTCAAAATTACGTATTGATTGTTCACAAGCTCGAAGAGCTTAAAGGAATTATTAAGGAATTATCTGAAAACATGTTTAGTGAACAGACCTGTCATGGTTTGCAATAGAAATTTATTTCTTCAAGAAGATTGATAGATGACAAATGAGTTATCCTTCCTTGTCGGTAACAAATAACCACTCCAGCAACGCCGCTTTTGATTGCTTTTGTTTTGAAAGGTTTCTTACTGGCTAATATATCTATGAGTTATCTTGGCATATGCTCCTCTGTATGCAAATACGCTGTTGTTTACAATGAATAGGAAAATAAGGCGAACTACAATAAAACCTTACGGTTTTCATTGACACAAACGTTGTTTTCGTAACACAAGTCGTGAATTTGGATTTTATATCTTGAATGATTTGCCAGTCCCATTTTTTTTTATCGATTCGAGTCAGTGAATTTTCAAACCAAATCAAATTCAAAACTACAATAGATATTTAGTGAATTACAGATTTAACTCCGAGACAGTCCTGCTTCTTAATTGGGTGACATCTGAACAGGTTATTGGCACATATGCTTCGCCGCCACCTTATATGGAAAACAACCTCGTGTTGACAATTTCGCTTCTTTCAAGCCTGTTTATTTTTGAGAAAGCCATGGCGGCTGCAAGCAATCGATTTGCAGAATTACCGCCCGAAGAAATACAGAGATTATTAGACAATGCTACAGCGAAGTCAACAGTGAAAGCCACAAAGTTTGGAATGAAAATATTTTACGGTGAGTTTTGGTTTTACCATAATTTGATACGTTGTACTACAAACGTTTGTCGAGCCGTCTCAAGTGACAACATTTATAATGTTTTGTTTCAGAATGGCAGGCGAGCCTTGGTGGCGCTAAATTCTCAAAACCGATTGAGGAAATGTCGAAAGAAGAGTTAAATGTCTGCTTGAGGTCCTTCTACACCTCAGCAAGAAAACAAGACGGCAATTATTACAAAGCGACTTCACTGAAATCCATTCGATCAGCAATTGACCGCCATCTTCGGTCGCCCCCACACAATAAGCCCTTCTCAGTCATCGCCGATGCGGCGTTTACAGAAGCAAACAAAGTCCTCGGCGCCTTCGTCAAAGACCTGAAATTATCTGGAAAAATAGAGGCTACTGTTCACAAGAAAGCTATGACAAGGGAACATGTTCAAAAGTTATTTAATAGCGGTCAACTCGGGCCAGCTGATAGCAAAAATCCGTCGCAGCTTCAGCGTACAGCATGGTTTTATGTGGGGCTGTATTTCGGTCGGCGGGGACGGGAAAAGCAACGTTTTCTGAAGCGAGACATGCTTGTTCATAGCGTGAGTGGTGAAGGAGTGGAATATTTTGAGCTTTACAGAAAAATGACGTATTCTTTACCATCTACCACCTCCGCCGACCCGGATGACGAAGTGGAATCTGATACAAAGATGTTTGCGGTACCTGGATCCGAGAGATGTCCAGTAAAAACGCTGAAAAATTACCTAGCACGTCTGAATCCTGCCTCTGACGTGCTGTTTCAAAGGCCCAAAGATAGCCACAGCGTAAGGTTTAACCCCAAAGACACCGTCTGGTATTCGCCCTCACCTATCGGGAAGACATTTCTAAGCTGCTTCTTAAAAGAGATGAGCAAACGAGCTGGAATTGTGCCACATCTCACCAACCACTGTTTAAGAGCGACCTCAGTCGCTGTTTTATCGCACGGAAATTTGCACAGCCTGGGGCCTACTGTAGCATCGTCAACTATTGAAGTAGAGCAACGCAAATCTTCGATGCTGAGCAGTTTTGTAACTGCCGGCCAAGCTCCGCAGCTATGCCACACAACCCCTGGCCGTGATGCTGATCAAAGAGTCATAGGCACAATGGTGGAAATTCAACAAGCACATCAACCCAGTGGAGAGATAGTTTTTCAGGTTCGTAAATTTCCAGTTTTAATAAAGGACAATCAATCCGTTGCTGTGGCAAATGTTCCCGCCGAAAGCAATTTGGCGCAGACTGCGAGAACAACCCCCGCAATACTCCCTAAACCAGTTTAAGTATATTTACAATAAATATGAAAATCAGATTTTCATATAAATAGCAAAAATTTTCTGGTAGTTCTGGAGGTTTTTCTGAACTTGTTACTGTAATCTTTTTTTTTTTTTCTTTTAACCTTGAAACGATGGGAAGAGGTGAGGGTTTTCAGCAAATAGGTTTGCATGCACACTCTTTCACGTGGTAATCTTAGCCATCAAAGGAAACCATTTGAGGTTTTTTAGAATGTATCACACAGGTAAATAGCCCTTTTCACACAAGCTGATTGGCTACTTCGGACGTGATTGGCAAGTACTATTCACTTCCGAGCAGCCGAAAAGACAGAATCGCCCACGAGTAGTTTGATTTCCGACTATTTTTCGGTCAATCGAGAGGAAAAAAAAACTATTTTTGGTTTATGTGTGGTATACCCTAAAACAATTATTCATCTCAATGGAGGCGAATAATTATAAGTTCTTATTAACCGAGCGGGAGCTCTGTATGGGAGAATCTTGACCTAGGTCGCCGGTACAGACCGAACGCAGTGAGGTCTGCACCAGCGACCGAGGTCAAGATTCTCCCATACAGACCGACCAAGCTCGGTTAATAAGATGTTTATTATATGGCTGTGTCTTATATGCCAATTTTTGTATTCTTTGTACCTTTGTTTTCTAGACCGGTCTAGATGCCGGTCTAGATGGGAAAATCTTGACCGCTTTCAATATTAATTTCAGCCAATCAAATTCGTGAATTCGGTAGTTCCCAGTCCTTGTGAGACACAGCCATATAATAATGAAGGATATTTACCTCACCCCTTCGCGGCTCGGTCAAAATTTACCTCTGCCAGCGTGAATAATTGTTAAGAATAGGTTAGGTGAAAGAGCTTCTTGATGAAGAGCTAGGTCGAATGGAATTTCGATACGGGAAAATGTTTAAATAGGATCTAAGCATATTATCATGTATATCTACATAAGACTGGACCTTCAAGACTTGGTATACCCTTCAAAAGTTGGCCATTCATAAATATTGTAGAATTTGCATAGAGGCAGTAATTTCAGTTCAAATGGTCCACCTTAAAGAGGGTCTGATTGGGGTAATGGCTTTACGGCTAAAGGTTGAAATTGTTGCCATTTTTACGGCTAGTGGTTAACTTCCTTCCATCGTGATTAAAAGAAAAATGTAACGGTGAATTTTTTTTTTTTTTCGCGATTGACAGTTAAAATTTGGAATTTTTGACGCCCAGTGGCTATATTTTTAGCCGTTTTACGGCAGTCGGATAACTCTACTGAGACGCTCTTTTTAGCACCATGTTTGCGTTCTTGGGGAGTTGCGTCGAAAGCAAAGAAATTATCTAAAGTTTTAAGTCGTTTTCTCCTTCATAGACATAATTATTCTCTGTTCGGTTATCTATGAAATACTTGTCCGTCCAGTTATATTCACATGATATCATTACTTAACAAAGTGTGCATATTTTCCTTTTTGGGTGCTTAAACCTTTCCACCGTAAGAGTGATCAGCATGTAATTTCTCCTTACAGTAAAACAGCTGAATCGTTCGTTGAGGTCATGGGAATACAAGAAATGATCGCCAGTGACACAAAATCTCCTTGTTAGTACCAAAGGAAATGTGTGGAGAAAGTATAGAGAATATGCATACTGATGTTAGTGGGGGTGAAAGGGTTCGTCGTTGCTGTGTTGCTATTAATAGGGAATTTAAGCAAACCACGACAGCGACGGCAACGAGAACGTGGAAAACGATAGATCTAACTGGCAGAACAATAGCCTAGCACTTACGTTTTAAAACTTTGAACATTTCTTAGCCGTCCTTTACAAAACAACAACGTGAAATCCCCAAAATTTGCGTCGTCTGCGAACCGGAACCGCGGCGGCAAATTATTTTAATTTACATTTGGAACTCAACGCTACTTTTATGCGTTATGTTGATTTTGAGGTCTGGCGCCCTATGAAACGGTAAACACCTGCAGCCATTTTCGAAATTGTAACTAAAAGTAGAAACTCATTTTTTAATCGACGTCTTGCGTGGCGTTGCCGTCCTGACTGCTTAAGTTCCCTAATGGTCGGGATTATACGTTTTATTCAAAAGTTATACATTTAACCAACAATTTACTCCGTAAATATACGGACCTTTTATCCACTTTTCGATGTTGGTGTAGACATTGCCTGTACGTTTAACATTATCCTACCATTTCCATTTATATGTATGCTAGTATTAGGTACAGTGTTCAGTGTTTATCATTTTTTCGTTTATATTTATCTAATACTTGTGCAACTTGGCAAAAAGTTGGAATAATTTAATGTATATTTTCATGATTAAATTAAAGAAGAAATTTCAGTTGTCGTATTGTAAATGACACTGTTTGCTTTCGGGCTTTGTTGAGAATCTCAATTATTACGTCTACTCAGTGGCGGCGAATTGTCCGTCAGAAAAGTAATGGGGGCGGAGAATGGGAATTTTGGAAGATACAAACATTTTTTTCCAATAAACTATTTTTTGTTTTTGCTTTTTCCCAACACCCAGACCTCCTCCTCTCTCTTTCCTCTTCACCTTTCGAATGGTTCATCCTCGCGGAGGTGAAAATGAAATGCGGTTAAAGGTTTGAAACCCGGATTTGCATTTCATCGTGTAGTCTGATTGTCCAGTTGAGGATAGATCTGAAAAGGACTGTTGTCGATGACAGTAAATAGAGACCTTTAGCAAACCACGACGGCGACGGCAACAAGGAAATGGCAAAACAAAAGATCTAATGAGCAGAACAGTAATACAGCACGTGCGTTTTAAAACTTTGCACCTTTCTTAGTCGTCCTCTGCAAGACTACAACTTGAAAACACCAAACTGAAACTTTGCGTGGCCAGTGAACGAAAACCACGAGAATAAATTAAGTTTCTATTTAGAACACAAAGCGGCTCACATACTTTATGCCGAAGTTAAGGTGTACCGCTGTTAGAGACGATTACCACATCCAGTCAATCGCGAAATGCTCACTGAAAATATGAATTGATTTTTAAATCGAGGTTTTCTTCAGCTAATAAAGTCCCTTATAAATTCTCGACAACTTGAAAGACTAAATCAACAATCTAAAGTCACGTGTTTTTTTCAAATGCGACGTCAAAACTTCCATGGCATCCATTATAATATGATTCAAAACAAAGTACTTTATTTTTTTTTCTATCATAGCATGTCAATCGGCACTTTTTTCCCCTCTTCTTTTGTATTTGACTAAATCATTCTAACCAGCGCATTTCGTGAAGTTTCCTTGTTCATATTTTGTGTTCTCATGGCTTATGTTAAAGTACTATGTTGGATGTCTATGTCTTTCGGACAAAAGTTTCACACGCTTGTCTTTGTACTTTTGTCCGGGCAATTACACAGTTCCGTAGTTACAGAGTTCCTTTTCTCTTAAGTGGATGACCTGCTTTTCAGAGATGTCAAGCCCCAACTTCTGATGCTGGATAGTTGCCTATCGATTTCTGACCTTGTCACGGGCTGTGCCTTTCCAGTCACGCTAGAGTATGTTGCGCTGAAGAGATGTCTAAAGGCAGTCTTGAACTGCTTGTTCATTAGACCGTAGATAATTGGGTTGAGAACTGAATTAAAGTAATGAAGCGCTTTCGCCACCATTACAGCTTCCATTTGAATCGGACATGCGCTGAAATCAAAGGGAGTGAGAGTCATTACATGGTCTGTCACGCATTGTTTGTTGAGGACGTACATTACGTTACAACTCATCGTCAGTCACTTTTTATCGCCGGAACGGAAGTCGGAGGATCTCGGTCCCCTCATGACGCTCTGTAATATTCTTATGAACAACCGACTTATTGAAAGTTAATTGAGTCATTTTTCTGGAGTTCCCCTTTCATACTCGATCGACAACAAATGACCCCCTCCCCCCCTGAAAACCATGAAATCTCCCTCTTTACCAAATCCTCCCCCTGCCAGGCGAGAAATAAGGACTGGCCTCTTAACTGAGAGTAAGGAGAGTGGAATGCGGTGGTCGTAAGTTCGATTCCCCATAGGGGCTAAGAATTTGCGAGGAGGAATTATGTATTATCATGGAGTTCACAAATCACAAAACTTACCGACAGAGAGCGTTAAAGAAATTCAGAAAGAAGAATGGGAACCAACAAAGCACAAAAGCCCCCATTACCACCCCCAGCGTCTTAGCGGCCTTCAGCTCCTTTGGTAGGCAGAACTTTTTGGTTTTTTCTCCAATCTTGAGCAGCATTTTCTTCGCCTGTGTACGAGAAACTCTGAAAATCATAATGTAGGCGTAACTCATGATTAACACAGGCGCAACAAAACAGAGCGAAAACGCTGTCAATTGGTATGCGGTTGAGAATGACATATCCCAGGTGATCAGTTTGATGATGGTCATGGTTAGCGCAAAGGACCACGCTGCACAAATCGCTACACGTGTCTTGGGCGTGGTCACAATGCTGTGGTAGGTCAGCGGAGAAGAGATACAGATGTAGCGCTCAATGCTGATAAGTAGAAGATGTGAGATGGAAGCCACACTGCATAAGATGTCCATCGACTGCCAGATCTTCTTCAGCCACAAGGAGTAAATCCAGGGTCGTCCTGTTAAGAGATACGCTGCCCAAACCGGCATGGAAAACATCGCGACTAGGATGTCCGTCACTGCTAGGGACACCACGAGGTAATTGGTCACGTTGCGCAACTTCCGGAAAGAGACAAACGCCCGGATGACGAGTGAGTTCCCGAGAAGAGTAAGAATTATGATGACAATCAGTAAAAATGTGGATATGAATCTCACAGTGAAGTCAAATGGTTGCATTTCCGCCCTGTGGATTATTGTGGAGTTTATGGTTGTGGCCACCGTCGGGTTTGCCATGGCTGTGATCCTCTAACAAAGGGTGTACAAACTCCAACAAGTCTGAAATTGAAGTTTGACAAAAATGAGACAAAATTCCATTTGTAGTCCCTGCTTCTGAGTTAGTGACAACTTCATGATACTGAAGTAAGAACAGCTCAGCCATTTTTACTAGCGACCACAAATGGTAGACTCGACTCTTAAAGGACTTCGGTACAGATGCTAAACTTTAAGGTTGCCGAAGTGAGATTAAAGCCCGATCGAATACTATTTTTTTTTTGTCTGTAGACGCAGATATAATCAATACAAAAAATATCTCTTTCTTCGACTGGTGTTAATCCTTTAACTCCCTCGAGTGACCGAGACAGAATTTCCCCTAACATTATCCATACAAAATCAAGCAGGCAAGTGATGAGAATAAAAAAAACAATCCAGTAGGGTTTTTTTCGCCGAAATTACGTCGTATGGTGGAGATTAATAGTAAGGCAGACAGTGCGCGACGCGGTTAAAAGCCGAAACGTACACTATTTTAAAATCAGTGAATTTCTGTATTGACCAGTTTCCTTTTGACGTTCATAACTAATCGCAAAAAAACAAAAAAAAAAATCGAATAAATTAAACAGAAAAGCAGGGAAAAAAGTTAAAAATATGCTTTTGGCAAAACATAAAAAAAAACTTACGAATTTCATTTGATTAAGATATTGGTATTTTCCTCCAACGGATCACGTCCTTATTTGAGGCAGCGAGCGCCTCAACTGTTTCCGAATTCAACCATTATTTGGAGTTTATTTATATATTCATAAATACATAGCAGTTAAAAAACTGAATTGCGTATTTACTCACATAATACAGATTTTAAAATTAAACTAATTTAGATATTAACTACTTAGTTATTAAAAAACGTTCAATCGGCTAATAAAAGGAAAGCTAAAATGAGTTCGCTTTAAGACATGAGGAAATAATAAAACTATTCTTAAAACGAGTGGTTTTGAAGCGTTGTACATTAAAAGGTCGCGCACGCCTTAACAAGTAGGTAGTTTCATGTGTTGCTGGTATTAACTTTTGAAGACGGTGATTGTTGTCATCTACAATTTTGTCGAAAAGTGACTCACATATTTCGTCATGATGGATGACTAATTCTTTAAATTTCATAATATCCAGGGCCTCATGATAGCTATGACCAGTACAGATAATGGACATTGCTCTCTTCTGTACGTGTTCTAATTCTCGCATTAAATATTTAGGCAAACTATAGTGAAAAACCGGTACTGCATAGTCCATGATTGATCTAATACAACTAGAATAAAAGAGCCCTCGATCAGTACGAGCAACCTTGGCTCTCTTAAGTTGAATCAAGAAATATAATCTCTTAGAGGCTTTTTTAACGATTTCATTAATATGGGTATTCCAGGTCAAATTATTGGAGATATCAAGACCCAAAAGCTTACATTTTCTACCACTTCTAAAGCATCGCCATTGATGAGAATGGGCACAAATTCTTGCTGGAACTTTGAAAAGGTGTCCTCTGCATCATTGTGTAATTTAGTATTACTAAAAGTATTAAGTACCGAACTTCCGTAAAATCAACATTGAATACACATTCGATTGACACGACGTGATTTACAGAAAAGATATGAGCTTCGCAACTTGATACTTACGTTTTGGAGGAAAAATGCTTTCTTCGTGTTTTGAATTTACATCAGTTGTTACCGTCACATGTCAGTATGTAAATATTTGCTAAACGCTATCTCTCCTGTATTTGCTCAAAACTAGTGTTACGCATTCATTCTTCAAACTCCTGGACTGAACAATGGGTTTCAAACGCAGCTTTCACGCAGAGTACTGATTTCCGTGACATTCATCGTATTTACATACACGAAATGTGAATTACTTCGTGAAATAGATTGATTTGAAAGATCTAACTTTTCGTGTTTTTTTTTTCTAGAAATTAGAGGAAGTTTTATCACGAATTGTAAACATCAGATGACACCATTCACATGAAAGGGTAAATAGTTTATCATGTTCATTGTGCCGGCGCTTTTGTGTTTCCTCTCTCAGTTTAGCCGGCGGCCTATTCACGATCTTTATTTGAATGAAACTATTTTCTTTGGTGGAAAAAAAAGGCAACAGTCATCTTGCATACATCGACTTGGGTTCATGCCTTTACTTGAAAATCATTTTAAATTCATCTTGGACGACCACGTAACATTTTCAGTTTTTTTGGTGCTAATGTATACCTGAGAGTAAAGCATTGCTGGAAGCTTGCCGAAAATTTGTAAAGCAAGCATTGTGCATGCACGAAAGAGTATGATGAATAATGTATTATCACAGGGGAATATCAACTGATTCTCTTGAATTTTCCAGTTTTTCGATGTAACTCGCGGCTTTTTTCTGTAGACCTGTGTCTGATTCCTAACGAAATGACGGCGTTGCAGTTTTAGTCCAGGCCATGATGGTTCAAAACATCTTACTTTTTCTTAAGTGTTAAAATTAAGGCAAGAGATTTGTGGTGACCTATCTCTTTTCAAGATATCTGCGCTCCTAACATATCACAACAAAGTTTTCTTTTCGTTCGTTTTGTTCACGAGCTAGGGTGACTGAACCAGTATCGTTCGTTGATGGGGAGTAAACACATGCTATGCAAACTTACCTAAAACCTGGATCGTTTCTGGATTTCAATTATTCTAGTAGAATCTGTCTGGATAATCAAAGAGTGTCGTGGCACTTTTTATCTGGTTTTACGCGGTCCTCACTAAAACCATTGCGGTGCTGAATTGAATGTCCTGCAAATTTCCCCAAATGAGCTCTTAAAAACCAATTTCAAATCATTACACATGCATGTCACGTATAAACCGCAGCTAAATTTCTTCAGGGTTTTCCGGCTGTCAAAAGCACCAAAAACTATTAATTTTTATCGATATACGTCAGTCTTGCAAACTTTGAAGGGGGCCATTTTAACTTCAAACGATTTTTAATTGGCTTTGATGTGAAATTGCTGTGCATGGGGAATTCTAATTGCAAATTGACGTAACACCATAATGTACTTTGATGAAGGATTCTATTTCAGTCATTTGGTACACTACGAAATAACCATTGACAGTAACTTTTATAATTTGTATGCACATATTGGTTGGACCACTTGCGGCTCTGGAGAAATCATTTTAGTTAGTTACCTGAAAGCCAGCAATCGACATCTTAGTTGTGGAGGCTGTTCTGTTTAGTCTGTGGTGTAGTTCGATCAATAATGATACAGCCAGCTTTTTCTCCTTTGCGTCTAAAACATACACCAAATACGGAGGAACTACAAGGTTTATCATGATCCATCTGTTACATATTACCAATGAAAGTGTTATTGACAATGTTTAATTTATGCTTCGGTAGCAAAAAATCTAAAATAATTTGGCAAGTTTAATCTTCAAAATGAGGAATCTTAAGAGCGGGAATATTTAAAATGGAGAATCTGAAAAAGTGGGATTCTTTAAAATGGATAACTTAGGTGTTTACTTTCAAGGGAAAGGGAATAGCAAGTTGAAATGTCTCTGTTTAATCCATTAATGTTATACGACTAATCAGACAAGCTGCCAGATTCTGGACTTCGAGCAGACGACTCGTGCAGTAATTGCATTGATATTGAAAGCGTTCTTCTTATCCTTTTCACCGGTTTATAACGGAAAACGCTGTTCAGTCATAATTGCTAATAGAGCCTTATCCTTTAGATTGTTCAAAAAAGATAAATGTCGAGTGCTACTGCCATCCACCAAAAACAAAATTATCACGCGTCGAGCAAACTTCAACCCTGAGGCGGGATTTCCACCAGCACGTAGTAGTTTCACTTGTGTCACCAGTAATGATTCACTTACACATATTGGTCGATTACATTTCACGCTTAAAAGATTCCCCTGTTAATAAAGATTCCAGCTTCTAAAGATTCCAGCTTCTAAAGATTCCCGCTTCTAAGGATTCAGGCTTTTAAAGATTCCCCTTGTTAAAGATTCCCCATGTTAAAGACTCCCCGAGTTAAAGATTCCCCGTTTTAAAGATTCCCGCTTTTACACATAAAGCTCTAGCCCTTAAAGATTTCCCCATTTTAAGATTTCCGCTTTTATAGATTCCCCAAATGTAAACACTCCCGATTTTAAAACCGATTCTAAAGATTCCCTATTTTAAAGAGTCCCGCTTTTAAAGATTCCCGCTTTTAAAGAATTCCCCATTTTAAAGATTTTTTCCCATTTCCCGTTCTTCCTTTCCTGTTCCTCTGTTCCCTGTTCTTTATTTTAAGGATAGCCATGTACAAACTATGACACAAACTATGACACAAACTAATTCGCACACTCAGCCACTCGAGAAAGAAAAAGAAAGAAAAAAAAAAAAGAAGAAACTTGCTCACTGTCTAAGGACAAAAATTTATTTGCTAACTTAAGAGGTGTGAATGACAATCGCTATGTAGTTCAAAACGCTAGAATTTATTGACTGAGTACTCTTAATTCAAAATCCATACGCAAACGATACGGTACGTCCGATAATAACCTTTATTTTTTTTCGGCTAGATTTTTAATGAATTCTAAAGTATAACTTTGGTTTAAAGACTGTAAAATCAACTAAAAGTAAATTGGCGCTTTCTGGCACGAATTAGGAAATGGAAGTTGTCTAGTCAGTTGCTGCAATCTGTTTGTTGAAGTTTTCTGCAATCATTTTCGTATAGCATCGGAAATTATCAGGAGGCTACCAATGAGGCGCTAATTAACTGAGGTTGTTTGTTTCTAATCAAGGAAAAACAAGACACCTCTCTTTCTGAGCAAGTATTTTTTTTTTTTTAACTCAAGGCGTTTTGTGATGCGAATCACACGATTTGCAGCTTCTTTTTGAGTGAAAACGAAGAAACGAAAGTATTAGTGAAGATCATGGCATACATTTTACAGTATTTCGTATCGTTTTCGTAGTTTTTGTCATTTAGTGTTCTGAGTCGTAAGTGGTAATTGAGAAGAATAAAAGCAATTGTTGTTTAGGCAGACTATAACTTCTTGTTTCCATTTCGTGGCAAAACGAAATTATTCATTTTTCAAAGCAATACAATCGCCAAACAATGCGTTTGAGAAAACAACTTTAATTTCCGGCAAAGTATAACTTATTTTGGTGCCGCTTAAGTTTCAAGTTACCGATTCAAATTTTTAATAATAAACTCAAGGGAATACGACATTACTTCGTTTGAACGAGTCGGTGCTATTCCTCCAACAGCTCCAATTTTACACAATCATATTTATTTATTCGGTTCTTAGCGTCTTTTTCAATGTTGCCCATTAATTTTGCAGAGGAGATCTCAATGATACATTGTATGTTACGAATTTCGTGTTGTTTTTTCTGAGTGCACCTGCAATGCAGCTTCGCTGATTTGCCTCAGCTTGAAATAGTCCTCGGCTTCCTTGATAAATTCTCAATTCATTTAGCTTGCCTGCCTTTAATTTCCTCTTGAAACTTAACTGCAATAAGCTACAAAATTCTTAGCCGTCCGTTCATTCATAAGTTAAGTTATGCTAGAGTCTTACACTGTTTTCAGACTCTTTGTTCTCGACTTCAGTTTCAGCTTATCACTTAAGGCTCTCCGAAGGTAAACGTCGTGAAGATAAACATGAAAGGACCAACTCAGATTCCTTTTTCCCCAAACATCCAGCCCGTTAGCCGGCGAGGAATCTTTTGTCTCCATTTCGCTCTTGACAAAAAGGTAAAACCACTGCTTGAAATCATAAAAAGACATCCTGAATCTTCAGATCCAATTTACATAATGTCTTTGACTTTTTCGAGAGTGTGTCGATTTATCAGTCCGATTAATTGAGTTTATGCAGTCGGCTATCGTTTTCGCGCCGAATCTGAGTCGCCGTGAATTCTTTTGCCTGCTTAAAACAATTGTTTCCCCCTACTAATTTTTGCCATTTCAGGCAATATTGCGGGTTGACTAAAAAAAAACTTAAATATTCTCCTGACTTACCTGAAATATATTTTAATCAGCGCTGTGTTTTGTTGTTGGCGGAGCAGTAAGTCAACTGATTAAATGGTTTACTGGGCCAACTTTGATGGCTTTCAAGGGATCAGATGAGTTCGTCCTTGTTCTGAGCGCCGACTGTTTACGCAGACTGTGGGGCAATTTTGACACCTGCGTTTAACCCAACGACGAAACAGCTTGAGGGAAATGATTCTTTGTTTCTGCGGGACTTTTACGGTTTGTTTTTTATTTCTAAAAGAGCTTCCAACTGCGACCTTCACTCGGCCATTTGAAGTTTTCGAGCGAAACTCGCTCAAGGTGAAACAGGTGCAAAGTTTGTTTCTGATGAACGATAATTGTCGGCCCACAACTTGACGTGCCTTTCTGAGCAAAAAAAATTTACATAACAGTTTCATTTAATCCAAGCAGGATCTAAGCCTTTCTTCTATATATTTTTTTTCTACAATTAGATGAGACCAAGACGACATAAAACAACTGAATTTTTCACTAAATTTGCGATGCTTTACCTAACTCGAAACGAATTCGTGGTGGTTTTTTAATTTCATAAAGTTTTAGATTAAATTTTTGATTTAGGTCCGGATAAGGTTCGTGGCAAAATTTATCTTTTCAAATGATGTTTTTATCAGTTTTTCAAACAACCAAAGTGATAGGGAGTCAGTCCAGTGTAATTATCAAACAAAAATAAATTCAAAACCTCTTTAAATCGTTTCTGCTGTGTCATTTTTGCAGAAATTAACTCAGTGTATCTGTAAAGTATTTTCTAATGGTTTTCTCTTGGAAAACTCAAACAAATTAATATCACGGTTTAAGGCTCATGTCATTTCTTTCTCTTGATCTGCTCTGAAAGTAGTTAGAGTGTGATCTTCTGTTATTATTTTGTTCGGCTTTTCGTTTTAGTCAAATCTCCTTTTTAATCATATCCTTTCTTCAAACATTTTAAATTCGAACCGCTCCATTTTCCAGAGCTGTCGTCAGATGTCGATGATCTTTGAAACCCGCACCCGTTTTAGCGGTTCACTAGCCGTTTTTAAAACGAAGGAATAGTAGATAAATTATCAGCTTGCCTTCTTTCAATAAGAGATTCCTGTGTAATAAGAAAAGCTAGTGTGCAAGCGTCAATGTAGTACAGAAAATGTGCAATTTTCAGATCAACTTAGGTGAGTTAAAACAGAGATAAAGAAAATAATAACTAAAAGAAACTTGTTTGTGCAGCTGGCGGTTTTAGCGGGCGCTCGAAGGTAAAATGTCCCCGAGCAGATAAACCCACGAAAGGCATTGGGAGAAATGATGTGACTATATTCTTGGCCACTTACTCAAAAGGACCGATTCGGCAACGGCTTTTTGGACTCGCACGACGAACTTTTCCGAAAAGGAGGAACTGCTCATAATCTAATATATGGAAAGCAGTGATAAACTGCTAAACCAAGTTAATCCCAAAGACGCGTTGGTTTACCACGCATTACAGTTTTTTGTGTTGTAGTTTAAGTGACGGCTTTTAGTTTTTGGTGCCACAAGCCAGTAGCACTTTAGGCCTGATGTGGTTGATAGTCAGTGGTGGGTGGTCGTCAATGGCGTGCGTTGACGCCAAGGCCCAGTCTACTAGCACGATTGCTTAATTAAGTAATCCCCATTCAGTCGAAATATTTATGGGACAACAGATGTATTAGCTACCAAGACATTTTTATTCTTTCCTATCTTAAACACAAGTTTAACACTCTAACTAAACTTTTCCTTTCCGAGTCGATTTTCGGCTACAATAACAGGCTAAGAAATAACAGTTTAACTTGTACGACAAAACAATAATAGTTTAGAACATATTTCCGAGTGCAGAGAACTGTTGTTGATGCACTATATTTCATCGTTCGTTATCCGTGTTTAGTCATCCTTTGCGCCATGTTTAATTGTTTTAACAAGGTCCAGATAGTTGAAGTTTCCATCGTCGTCAGCGTTCGCTAGGCGGAACATCTCATCGCATTCATCGTCAGTGAACCTAAAGCAAAGTGTGATAGTCACGGATCAGTAACGCAACGTGAGCGACGTTTTCTTTTTCTTTTCATTTTCCTTTCAGGGAAGAAACCCTAAGGACGAAATTCCCGATTGTCAAAGCAGTATATACAGTTTAACTTTCTGTGACCTTTTGTGTGAGTGAGATGATTTGTGTGACTAATTCTGAGAGAAGGAGAAGAAAAGTATAAACATTTTAGGAAAACTCTCGTTTTCCAAAGGAGATCATGGGATACTGAACTTAACAGAAATGAAACGAGCATAGTGATGCTTATGTATATCCCAGACACGATACCAACTATTTTCTTTCTTATAATTTTCATTAAATGATCCGCAACCCGATTAAATCGTCCACATGCTGACAGAAAGTTATCAAATTAACGCCATGTGTCAGACCGTGTTACGACGCAGTTGTTTACAAATGTCCATGCCTGTAGACGAATTTGGTATACATAATATACATTCGATACATTCGTTTTCTAGTTAATCTGAATTACACAGCTTAACAAACAACTCACTTATATCTCGCAAAAAAATCCTTTAACCCTGAGCTTTTCCTATCATTTTTTCTGCCAAAACATAAAACCCCCGCGAGGTTAAATACATTTACTGTCATGCTGAGACATCTTGCCGAGAATGTAATCTTAGTTTGCGAGTTGTCTGTCGAAAAATCTACAGTTGCGATGAAGGTTAGCAAAAAATAGCAACACAAAATGCAATAGCCTGGCTCTTCTAGACGCAAAAAGCAAGAATTTTGTCACTGAGCTAAACGGATTTCGTTTAACTTGACAACATAACAAATCAACCACCCGAAACCGGCAAGCCACTTAATTTTATCATCGGCAGTTTCCCCGAGGCGTTACCTATTGTTATTCACCTTGCCTATAACGCTTGAAATTTTTGTTTTCCACCGCAGATTACGAGATTAACTCGTATTTTTTGCGTTTACTTTAATCAGGGCAGAATTTTTGGTAAACGGGTCTCTCTTCCTGCTGTACGCCACTGTTCGCACGAAAATGTCTTTAGCTCCCGCCGGGCTTGCGAATTTATTAGTTAGATTTGAACTTTCAAATAAATCGCATCAGCTTTTGTTTAAGGCCTATGCAATTTTCCGTTTCATTCTATTACAAAATATATCTTGCCCTGTTGCAGTCTGAAGACTTTCAGCGTTAGCTCTAGCTATAGATAATGAATGAGGAGAAACTCTGTCCTGGCTAAATAATTGTTATCTCAGACCAATTTTACAGTCGCTGCCCGCATAAAAAAACCCTTAATTCAACAACTTCAGTCTACGCGGCTGTCATATTTTATTTTCGCTAAATACCGCTATCGAGTTTGCTCTTCCTAAATGTTGTTAGTGTTAGGGTTGACGTCGATGGACTGATAGCTTCTCAGCAAATATAACTTCGACTCGGCGAACTTGAGAGGAGTTAACGCGCGTGTTGGCGTGGAATCGTGCGTGTTCAAGAATCGTGCGTGCTCGCTTCTCGAAGAAGGCCTTGATTTCTGGGTTCTATAATTTTAAGGTTTTAAGATAAAGAACTGTATCTATCCTGGCTTTCAACTGCTTAAGAACTAGAGTCCACTGTATCAGTGAGCTAACAGGGGACAAGTAAAACGGACTGGTACCAACCACTTTTCGTGCGAGTAATTTTTCGGAATTCTGGCCTTTTGTTATTGATTTAACTGGAGAAATCGTCACTCTTTCAACATAGGGTGTTATAATAGCTGAAAAATCGTAGACAAACAGCAGCATATAGATACCTCGCCTCTAGATTCGAATTCCTGATTCAGGTGTTAAATGGGACGAAATTCACTACAAGAAGGGATATCTGATCGTAGACAAGCCTAATATACCCAAGATAACAAAGTGCTTCCTACTTGTACCGCGAAAGCCTCTTCCCTCCCGACTTTTTGTCTGCGTAATCTGTCAGGGTTAAGTGCTAGAGAGAATTTGATAGTTCACTTTCTAATCTTACCTGTCTCCCATTCCCATTAACAAGGGTCGGAGCTTTTCCTCGTTCAGTACGCCCTTGCCTTCAAAATCAAACGAGGCGAATGCATTTCGGATCATATCCTCAGGGTCTGTACCATTCAGTTTCTCGCCCATGAGCGTCAGGAACATGGTGAAATTCAACGGCCCAGACGCTTCGTCTAACATTTCGACGATGTAGTCGTTAGACTCTTCCTTTCCCAGCGAGTTAAACATATCCTTCAGATCGGTGTCTTTGATGAATCCATCGCGATCCTGGTCGATCATGCTGAACGCTTCTTTAAACTCCTGAATCTGCTGCTGATCGAACATGGCAAACACGTTGGATGTTGCTCTCTGAGCCTTCTTCTTTGAGCCGGCCTTTTTAGATTTCTTTTTAATGGACATTTTAGCTCGATATGGTTGCGCTTTTCCACGAAAGCTTTTAGACACTACACAAAAAGTTGTTTAGCCACTCCGCTGCAATTAGTCTCTCGTTGGGAAGTGTTTACAGATTTTTAAAACGCCGGTCGCAAACCGCGCTTTTGTGAACCTATTACAATACCCTTGACCTTATTAGGTAACCAACATCGATTTCAATCTGTCCATCAAATACTTCTCTCACGAAATCGCGGCTACAATATATCGTAATATTTCGCCGAAATTTCCAAATTTAAACAAACGGTGATCACAGGGGACAATAATTTGTGTGAGGATATAGTGCTTTTTACTTTGGACCCAAAAGTTAAGGCTGACAATGACGCAGATTTCTCATTTAACGCTTTAACGCCTGTTATGTATGTTATCAACTCCTTGAATATCTGTCATATTGTTCAAGGACAATTCTCCAACTTCGGAACATTTTCTTGAAGGAAACCTAATTGTACTGGCAATATTCTCGAAAAAGTTAATTTTCTGGACGAAATCTTGGAAAATTTGATCGGAACCGTAAACATCTTTCTGCGCACTGAATCATCCAGTTATGACGGTTTCTGTAATCTTTCATGCCATTTAGTTCCGGTTGAGTTATTGCCAACACCTTCTGTAGTCTGTGACCTTTTCAAGCATCAAAATGAATATTCTGCAGACTAACTAGCGAAATCTTTTCTTCCGTGACATATGGAGGTAAGTGTTTAGGATTCAAGCTGCCATTCTTACGATCAGAACCTAAACGAAGTATTCCTGGTCTGGCAGCAATATTCTTTTTCTAGATATAACTATTTCCAAAAGGCACTATATTCGAAAATTCTTCATTATCTTTTGGCTTGTGTGATTTCATGTAAAACTGACTCTCATGCAGGCATTTATTTCCAGTTATCTGGCCCATAGATTCAACAGTTCAGCTAGTGTGTTAACTTTTTACACAATTTTGGTCAAAGCAACTCAGACAATCTTTATTCCGCAACAAAAGTTTTTGCATTTCATCATCTCATCATTTTATTAGCCTTATTTAAAAAAGACATCCTAATCTTCAATCACTCTTGGCTGAACATTAAATGATTTCTGATATTCTTAAGAAATGAAAAGAAAAAAAAGAAAACAAAGAAAAATTTTAAACCTTATTTCCGTGTGAGCCTCATCAGAACTAACAGAAATGTAAGACAAATGATTACTTAGACTTTTCTCGATCAGAAAGTCCTCAGTTACACACCTAATCGTCTTTTTCACCATGTTTTATAATCTTGGTGAATTCGTTGTAATTCAAATTCCCGTCGTCATCAACATTTGCATGAGTAAACATTTCATCGCATTCTTCTTCTGTAAACCTAAAATGTATCAAAAAACAAACAGCAGAATTATGAAGAGGATAATCTTACTGTAACCCTGACCTCCTCTTGCCAGCTTTGGCCGAGCGTTTGGGTGATCTGGGCAAAGCTATGCATACTTGTGGCATTTGCATAACCACAAGAATAACATCTGTGATCTTTGAAATGTAAATCCGACCGTTTATCATCGTGGCATTTAACATTTCAAGCACAATGAAAGAATGATAACAACTAGACTCGTATTCTCAGTTACAATAAACACATATGTTTTTAAAAGAATGGAAAGCAAATTGACTTGACTTTTAGTTGACCTCTTTGTAATTAATTTAGTGTCATTTATCAGGGGCGGATCCAGGAATTTTTGATTGGGGGGGTCCAAACTTTGGTTCAGAAAGGACTTTTGGACTCTTTTGACGGAAATTTACTTCTCCCCACACCCCCCACACCCCCTCCCACCAGTCGCGGTTGCACGATATAATTCCTTGGCCGCCTACCGTTTACTTGGATTCTTTAATTAAAAAAATCAGGCAGTTAAAAAGTGATATGTGATCCTGCGGATGCAAGAATTTCAGTCTCAAAGTTGTAAGCGTCAGGTCTGATAGGTGGGGGTACGAACCCCCCGGACCCTCCCCCCGGATCCGCCACTGTTTATGTCTGAATTGGCTCGAAACGTGAAGTACGTACTCCAATAAGAGTAAAAGTCTTTTGTGGGAGATGGATTTGACTTCGATGAATCAAGGCTTTGTTTAAAGGTATATTTAATCTTGAATTTCATTTAGCTTTAACTAATTAGATGTTTTGCGATATCTATCTCCTTAAGTATTCTGGTATGTTTGATTTATAAACGCACTGCCCGACAAAATCTGTGTTCAAATACGTTGCTTGCGCTCTTCCAAGCAAAATTATGATTCGAACAGGGACTCTCTACACAGACCTTACGATGTTCCGAAGTAAACCAAACAGGCCATGAAATCAACCGAAGAAAACATGTTACATTCTGCGTTTAGTTATTCTGAATAAGTCGTGGCTGTTTAAAATTCCACTTTTAAAAAGTACCTGACCCTCATAACTGTCAATAATGCCAAAGCCAATCTTCCTGTTTATTTCTCCTTTTTTTCAACAAATCACAATCTAGAAATGTTATGTTGTCCTGGAGGTGCTAAATTACAATTCTTAGAAAAAATTTAGAAATGGCTCAGCTCATTGCCCAATCGTAACCATACAAAACAGAGCAGTTGTTATTTTTTCACTGATTCCTGCATGTGGTATGAACCATGACCCCAACCTTAAACTTCTCATCAAAGCTGTTCTTATGTTAGAGCTGTGTCTGACTCCCCAAACATCTCTGCCGCCCCCGTCCCTCTTGTACAAATCCTGTAAGGATTTGCATCCTACGTGTGTTTCGCATGTAAAAAATCTGCAGCAAACCGCTTGCAGGGAATCAAGAAATAACGAGAAAGTGATAACAGCGTTATCACTGAACAACTAACCTGTCCCCAAGTTTCATTAACAGTGGTCGCATCCTGTCCTCATTAATGATTCCACTGCCATTTGGATCAAAGGTAGTAAACGCACTCTTGATCATGTCTTCCGGATCGGTCCCATGCATGTTCTCCGAGAACAGCGTCATGAACATCGTAAAATTGACGGCCCCCGTAGCTTCGCCTAGCATGTCTTCGATGTAGTCTTCCTTTTGAGGCCTTCCCAGGGAATTAAACATATCCGTCAGGTCTTTGGCGCTGATGATTCCATCTCTGTCCTGATCAATCACGTTGAATGCCTCTTTGAACTCGTGAATCTGCGTTTGGTCGAACATTGCGAAAACATTGGATGTCGCACGCTGCACTTTCTTTTTAGACGCACCCTTTTTCGATTTGGCGGCTCTCGAAGACATTGTGATTGTATTATGAATCAGCCCTTTAGAGGAGAGGAATTTCTTTTCTCGGCAGTTGAAGGCCAGATACACCTTTTGGTGGCGAAGGGAGATAGAAATGAATTCAAGACCCGCCTGTGTTGGTTATCTTTGTGTTTTGTCGGTTCCTCAAAAGGGAATCTATTTTTTCTAGGTTAATGGGTTGTTAGTAAAATGTCAACTAATCACATTTTAATGTACTTGTCAACGAATACTATGCTCAGTTTGGGATTGAAAAAAATAACTAACTCGCCCATCTACTAACTTTTCCTGTGTAAGAAACGATTTCGGTGGACAGAACAAAGCTAGATACATCGTAATTCAGTCATGGAAAAATGAAAGTGTCAATGGTGTACGTTGCAATAATAACAGCAAGCAAATGGAATTTTATCGCTCAAAGTTGTTCTCAACTCCTACGCTTGCCAATCGTATTACAAGGAAAGCGTAGCGTGCCAAATGCGTCTGATATTCGACCGGCTGGATAACCTTTCTGTTTTCTCAAAGTGACTGTTTTGAGGAAAACTGAAGATTTTACCAATCAAACTATCCTAGATACCGCAGGAATAATTGAAAAACAAAATTTCCCAGCAGAAATTATTTCCATTCATTGGCCTTGAAGCTCCATATGGGTCCATGTTCCATTCAGTCTGGGTCACTTAATGAAAGTTTCGTATGTCGTCACTATCAGTCTAATAATAACCACTTCAGTTTCTGCTGGAGGAGGGGACCGTTACTTGAGATAATGGCGAAGGCGTTACGCGAGCTCGAGTGAGCCAAAGGTACACTGGGAACTCGAAAATGTCAGCGGAAATCGGAGTTTTTTTCCTTTCTGATCGCTATTCAGTTGAATTTTAGCAGGTAGTTTAATTGAAATTTAGGAAAGTATAGTTCCTTCAGAAAAAAAAAGTCGCTTTCTTCTAATTCTAACCAGTTAATTTATTTCAAGATAACATGGAAAAAGAAAAGAACAATTTCCATCGAATAATTTGGCCTGCGACCGATCCTGCCCCCACTCTATTTTCTCGATCAATGTATTTTCGGCTGTATTTTCGGCTGTATTTTCGACCCCTATTGTCATGAAAGAAAACGAAAGAAATACAACAATAAGAAATATACAGGAGTCCATTAATCCATTATCCATTAGTAATGGGTTCCTGAAATATAAGAATGAAAAAAATTAAAAAAATTAAATTCATGTAACAGTCAGCGCCGTCGGTTATCACCAGTCTGGTCAGCGGTTTTAATTATCGGCCCTTTTCAGTCCGCCATATTAGATTAGATCTGCGAAGTGTTGGAGCTAAAGGTACTTTACTATATCACAGAAAACGACGGTTTCATAGTTATATTTGAAGAAAAAAGTTTCCGTGTGGTAGAATATTGTTTTTCGTTTTGCTAGTTGGGGCAGACTACAATGAGCAGCGTTCTATGGAGGAGTTTGCGTGTTCCGTTGACGAGGCGTTTGGTACGTCAAGCTGGTGACCATCCTACGGCAGAAGAACTTGGTCTCAAGGGATGGCAAGTCTACTTTAACAGCTACACTATTGATGGTCGACGCAATGTTAGTATTTAGATAAGTAATTTTTTTTCAAAGCTTTCATAATTTTCGGAACATTCTCGCCCTGTGATATTGCATATATTGATTATTGATTAAGATGCATTTTGCGGAGCGTGGAACCCACAGGAATCGCACAATGTAGCATCGCCTTAGAGTTTTTGATCGCGAAAATATTGTCAAATTGGATGAAAAACGCAAATGCTCAACTCTTTATCTGAAATCATATGAACAATATCAGAAACCTACAATTACATAATTTTGTTAGGGCGAGAGGTTTACACAATTGTACCTGGTAAAACCATGGCGATTTTATGAAAACAATGGACTGGACTTTCTCTTAATTTACTGGATTTTAGGGCTGGATGTTCGTTGGAGGATTCCTGGGCTACCACACTGAATTCTCTGGCTTGACTATGTCTGAGTTACTTTTTATTCAACTGAGAAGCTGTTATGTACTACATTTTTCTGTTTTGTTTTGTTCTTTATGCTATTTTCCTGCTACAGAAAGATTTCCATTCCTTTGCAGTCCATTTCATAAAAACTAAATATAAAGGTTTCTTTGCAACACTCTGTGCATAATTAATGTATGGGGTTATATGGAAATCTTGCTCCTGCTACTGCCCAGAACTGGGTTTTTCAGAGCTGGGTTAAAATATCCCAGAGTTAGTGTGAAATAAGATTTCAGATCTGAAAGCATTAAAAGAAAAATGGGTATAATTCTTTTTGTCTATAATGTGATTATTGGATGCTCTAAATAGAATAGAGAAAATCATCCCAAAAGGTTTTTGAACAAAGGAATAAAGAACCTGAATTAAAGTAAAAACCTTGGGTTAGTGCCGATTGGCCTTCAAACAAATGGGCTGTGATTGGGAGTCACTTCATTTGGCTCTTGAATCACAAACTTGCCATCTGCCCTCCTAATGTTTTGCATGGGTTTGGCTGGTAAAGTTAAAGAAAAAATGCAATCTGCTTCTCAAATGCTGTTGGCCATCAGTGCTAAATTTCTTTTAATCACAAACTGATAAGTTTTGTATCTTTAACTGATCCTTATTTTAAATAATTTCTACAATGATAGTTGTGCTTATTTAAGTCAAAAGCTGGTTTAGTTTGGTTATTTTATGACGTGATATGATTATCTTGATTATTATGCATAATTCAAACTCTATGAAAGATCTCTGGGGGATATACATTTACATGTACATATGTCCAGTCTTGGTTCTGTGGTAAGGGGCAAAGTCAAATTGGAAATTGCTTTGAACACTTACTGGTACACTACAACTATCTTAGTAATCATGTATGTATGGCTGACATCAAATATATTTTTAAAGAAATTGCTAATAACCAAATTATTAGAAGAATATCAGAAATACAATTGACTTTATTATGCTTTGTGATGAGTAAGTAAAATAAATGCAGTGATACAGGACTCTGATTTTCCTTTTCAGAGGGTCCCCTATAGCTCTTTGTAAATCTCAGCCACGTAAAAATGTTTTGCCATTTCATGCATCACAAATGAAATCCAAAATTCTCTAAAGTTTATATGAAATTTGAGACAATCATGTTTTACATGAAACTAAAAAAGCAAAGTCATGAATTGTTGATCCATATGAAGTCCGTGTCCTGTCAAAACCCATGTCAAAACTCTGGTCAAAACCTAACTACAGCTGTTCGAGAACATACAAACATTTTTATAACCATTAAAAAGTTGGGAATTGTCATGCAAAACAAAATTGGTTCTGGAATCATGTTTAATTCAGCTCTTGTTTCATGAGTCACATTTATTTAAAAAACTTAGTTCACATGGGCATGAAAAGATCTCATGATCTTCAATCATGATTCACGAGTAAAGAGAAAAAATCAAATCATGATTCACAATTCATGTGAAAAAAAAATCACTCAATCATGCTTTACGTTAAAAGAATAGGGGACCCTCTTTTCAGGACTTCATTAGCAGCTGTGTGAAAAGTAGATCTACCCAGTAGCTATGTGCTAATTTGTCATTGTACTCCTCACATGTGTAATTCTCCTAAAATTTGTTGGCATCCTTGAACAACAGAGCAACACAAGTTGAATTAGACCTCAAAATGGAAGAAAATGAAACTGCAATAGTCTTAACTTTCAAAATTTTCCAAGGGAGCCCAGACTTCACTGGGAACAAGAGACCTCTCCCAGGTCTTTGAAACTATACACATGCTGTCCTAAACCACACATTTTTTACCAACTATTAATGAAATCACTGCCCATTGTGCTTAGTAAACCCTTAACTACCAATAAAAGCATAAGTCTGGAGTTAATATCAGTTAACTGGCATGTTGGACATGATGTTCATTCATAAAGAATACTCTGAAGACATAAAACATTGATGAAATAAAATGCTGACCAGAAATCAGAGACAGCTGTTTAGAAATCCACAATTTTCAACCCAAATATATTACATCCTTAGGTAAATAAGTTTGTTTTGCTTTGTTTTTTTTTTTCAAAGATCTGCAGAATTATTTTACATGTATTTTCTTTGTTTATGCAGTTGGTATTTGCAGTCTATGGAACTTTGTTTGGAATCTATGGACTTTACAAGCTGACCAGAAAGGACAACAAAGAGGCTCCAGAAAAGACTCCAGAAAAATAACTGCAGCAAAAAAAATTCATCTTTTGACCTCTGTAATTTATCATGTTAGGGTTTTCATTTACATTGAGGGACCACAGATCTTATGATCCACTGATGTGAAGTTTGTCAAATGCATTTGATATGCTAATAAAATTGGATTGATGTTTTTGAAATAAAATAGCTGGAGTGTTCTGTACTCTTCATCTAAACTTTTGTCACTAATAATAATTGTAGCTATACTTTTGTGGGAGTGACACCAGAATTCTAGGAGACTCGTGAGAGTTTTTGAACCAAATTGGTGAGGTGGGCATGCTATCAGATAATGCTAGGTTAACTCCTGTAGTGATTTATAGGTAAATCTTTCCTTATATTCATCGGTACTTCTCTGTTTTAACAGTATATAGACGCTAGACTGTGTACTACGGTAAGGTTTGAACCAAAATCACAGACTCTAACAGATACGTGCCAGTAGTTTATTATTGATTTCCCTTGCTTGAGTTGAACACACATTTAGTAACTTACATTTTTGGAACACCCATAGGCAAACATAATATTTCTGGTGAACAATGAAAGAGAAATCTTTGTTGAAAGGACTGAAAGCCTATCAGCTACTTTGAAATCAGCTGTTAGAGTGTGCTGTTGATAGAGGATGTTGTTATTGTTTTGGGGTTTTCTAGTGATGGGTCTCAAGTGGTAAAGTGTACCCAAGAGACTGTTGTACAGTTGCCAATACCTGTTTTAGGTGAGCATGATGTACTCAGGGGCTCTGCTTCCCTTGATTGGGGATGGCAGTGAATAACGGCATACCCCAATCGTTGTATCAGGTTCCCTCAGGTCCTACAAGTAATTCTTCTTACTGTCTTTCATACAATCCTCGTGATGTTAGTTCAGTGAATTTGGTAGTGGATCAACTATTAATCCCCTACTTGATAATTTTCTTTATTCATCACTTTTCTGCCAGAAGTTCTGATTTTTGTGAGGAGAAATTCTGTCTTAATCACTCATGGGAATCAAGAGTTTATCTAGTACCCATTTACATCCCTAGGGGGAGAGAAGTTCTGTAAGTATTAAGTGCCCCACCAAGAGCACAACACATTTTTCCTGGATGGGGTGTAAATGTGAACTTTTCTATTCATTGTTCATGATGCTAACCCCGTCAGAACAGTGTATCTCTAAGTTTAGTTTAAAAATGTCTGAATGGCCATTTCTGAGGTTCTCAAAGCTCTCTTTTTTTTTTAAGCAGAGAAAGGGTCTTTAGAAATTGCCAACGGTCTGCATTTTACATTGTTTTTAAATCAACACTGAGTTGCTAAACTGCTGACATGCTCAGTGAGCAATTCTAGTGTACTGAAAAATCATATAAATTGTAAATTTAAATAACTAAAAACAACAACTACAGAAAAGAACCTATCTATGAATTGAGTAGGTCTTGAATGTGTACTAAAGAGGTGGACCTAACAGTTTTTCAGGCTGAGCTGGCAAAATGTGGAGGGGACAGTAAATGTTTGATACCATCTCAAATGTGGCACTTGTTTGAACAAAACAGTCATTCTTAAAACTGCAAGTTACACAGCACAAAAAAGTTCTTGCAAAAGGTGGATGAAAATTGGCTTTCTGACACAACCCTAGAGGCAGAAGATAAATATCAATTGATTCTTCAGCCTACGAGGGGAGGGTACAGAAATGATCAAAACTACCTTGCGCGGGGAAGGGAGGATTTGGTTGCCTCTTTTCTGGTCAACACAAAAGGCCTGGGAACTAGTGAAATTCAAGATGGCTGCTCACAAAGAAGATCTTGTCAGTACTCTGGAATCTTCACTTCAGGTGAAACCTTAAGGAACTGTGGCTTTCCAAAGTTGTTTTCTTGGAAATGTTTGTTGAGCCATTAAATTGTCTTTCAGGCTTGTGTGTCACTTCTTCTTGTCACCGATAACGTAGAGAAGGAAGGGGACAAGACAAATATCAACAAAAGCGGTGAGATTTATTTCAAATTTAAACTCCCATAATCTCAAATTGACAGTGTGTCGGTGGCTAGATAAATCAACTAGGGTGTCGAGGTTAGATAAATCTTGTACTAAATCCGCAAGCAAATCGATCGTGTTTTAGTCACAATCAAATTCGCCGTGTCTGACAGCAATGCACGATGTTTGGGCTGCCATTTTCACCGCAGCCATAATAACATTTATCGCCAAACAATTAAATAAAAACACAATCTGATCCTGAGAAAGTGAGAAAAATTTGTTGAATCGGTAACTTCAAATTTAGGCAAACTGCAAATTAAACAAAATTCTCGACTTAAAAAATCTGAATTGGCTAATTCATATTTCATTTAACTGTATTTCACCTCAATATCCATTTTTGTTTCTTTGTTATCTTGTTTCCTTTAACCTGTCTAATCTATTTTGCCAAAATTTCTGCGTTTTTATCCCGTAATTCCAAGGGGGTTCCCAGATTAACAAAAATGTTTACCGTATTCCAACGCAATAACTCATGCAAACATAATGAAAGTATTTGATGTTGTTTAGAAATGCCAAGTGATTAAAGAAAAACTACGAGGCAGAAAATTATACAAAAAAAACCACAGTAATTCTGTTAAAATTTCTGACTGCTCGATACGGAGTGTTTTCAAAAACCTGTGTGGCTGCTAGACATAAAGAGACTTTAACTCCAAATTTTCCTCTGTTTCTATTATTTTCAATATTTGTGAAAAATTTTAGTATTTATAGCATTTATTTTGTGGTTAGAAAAGCTCTTGTGTCTAAGTTTTATTGCAAACTAAGCATTGTTTTGTTTTTTATTCTTACTCTAGGCATTGAAACTAGCATTACAAAGTTCCTCGATGCTTCAAAAGCTGTGGAGGCTGATTTCCTTAAGAAGCAAATGTACAGCCGTGTACATCATCCCCGAGAAGTCACACAAGATGTAAGCATGGCAGAGTATTACTCTTTTTACCCGCTGCTTTTCTGTAAATGAAAAGACATTTTAATCTACCTAATCATTGTAAGCAACATATGGCAATCTGTGGTCTTTCCTTACACTTAGGTAGCACGGAAAGCTGTAAAAATCTTGAACAAAAGCTCATCTTTCAAACCAGCAGTCTAAATCCTACATGGATCAACGAACGCTTTTCATTCCACTAATTTATTCATGTTTTTCTCGTTGCCATGATCCCACCAATAACGTAGCTCCATTTTCTGCCTTTAAAAGCACACACAACCCACAATTCCTTTATTCGCTCCGACGAAGGGCTAATGCTCGAAACGTCAGCTTTTGTTATCGTTACAGTGGCCAATTTACCATTTCAGCTTTGTTGATATATCCAAATTATTTCTGTAAATGAGTTCTGTCTTGAGATGTTCATTGTGTGAGGAGAATCTCTGGGGGCGGGGTGGGGGTCAATTTTTGCTTCTCAAAATAAAAACCCCAACCTATCTCTCTGTAATGCATTTTAAACAGCACAAAATATAACAACTTTTTAACTACAAGTTTTCCCATCTTAAATTCCTTTGAACCAGAATTTTCTCGCCCCTCAAAGCCAGAAAATGTGACCCCATTCTTGTACCTCTATTGAAAACACTTGTATAAGCTTCAAAATAATTTTTAAAATTTACTGTTGAAGTAGCACAGAGTTCCTATCTCTCAAAACAAGAAAAGCTAGAAGGGGACTTATATCCTGGGGGCCTCACATATACAGCAGTTTATGGTATCTCAATACTTCAATTTCTTGCTTCAAGTCTCCGTCAGACAATGAGATTTAAATTGTTTGCATAACTCTTCCCCCCTCTGTGGTATGAAAAGAGTGACTGATGATTTGTCACTTCTTTTGAAATGTCTCTATTTATTCTGTATCATGCTTTCCAGGAAGTAGACAAAATGAGAGCTGAGTTGGTACAAAAAGAGGAACTACTGGCAAGAACAAAGGAAAAAGTTGCCTCATGGGCAAATGTTCTCCAAGATCTTGAAACAAAACAGACAAGCCTTCAGTTGGTGGATATCATACCACAAAGAACTGCATCAATAGATCCTTATTCTTTTGATACATCAAGAAAATAGTTTGTGCAAAATTGTAAAATTTGGTCAACAGAGCTACCGGGTATTTGTAATTAAATGTACAGGTTTTATTAATGTTGGCTATGTTGTTGTTTTTGCACCCACCCACCCACCCATCCCTCCCCTAATCCATGTTAACCTTAACTTGTTATCGGTTGACTGTTGCTGTGTTAGGGAAGGGGTGGGTAGTTGAACATTTGCTCAGGTACTGACACTCGTGCTTTATTCTTGGGCCAGGCTCAAGAGACAGGTCTTTTAAGATACGGTGTTAATGTATTTTTTTTCCAAAGATGAAAAAGAAATGTAAGCATTGTTAAAAAGAATAAGCAGTATGAAAGCTTCAGAAAGTGGTTACAGGTATGCTGAACTTTCCAGTTTGAGCTAGAGTCTCCTGGATACACAATGAATAACCCAGCTCTCTTTACACTTTTTCTAATCCCAGGGATAAATGTAAATGTGAATTTTTTCCACAATATATCAAGTATTAAAAAAATAATAATAATTATTGGCTTTTTTCCAAGCATGGTGAAATTTTAATGATTTTAGATTAAAAAAACCTTACACACAGGTCAATTTGCAAATATTGATGATGGTGTTGGTTGAGGGAAGTGGTTTAAAATCAAACATACCAGTTTCAGATTAGAGTTGACATCTTTGTGTCCTTTCTCTATTATTTTTCTTGCCATTTTGAATCATTTTCAACTCTCCTGCAATTTTTTTTAAGCACTAAAATGCTTGATAAAGAAAGATTATATGAATTCTTGCTGGTCTTTCGGAGAATTGTAGATTACTTTCACTTAAGTAACAGAAATACAAATATAACAAGTTCCAATTTGTCTTGGATCTGACACCATTTTCCGATTATCTCAAACTTGGTTAACTTGAATCCCCCCTGACTCCAGCAACTTATAACTTCCCTTGGATCTGAAACCATTTTTTAAATCATCTTGAAGTTGTTTAACTTGGACCTATGCTGACTCCAACCATTTTTCGTTTCATCTGGGAGTTTGAATTAGAGGGAGTTTTATTGAGGTCCCTACTATCATAATGACAATAATTAAACAAAATCGGAAAGCAATGATCTGGAATATAAGTGGTAGCCTTACCAATTCAGAATGAGGCCTTACTGCATAATCTTGTGAGTCTTTATAAAGCCCAAATATGTATTGCGTGACGTCATTGGCGTCATGCGAAAGTCACGAGGGTTGAAGAAGGGTTCGAGCGAAATTACGTGAATAGCTGTGTTTAGCTAAGTATCAGACTTTCTCCCGTACTAAGCGTGTGAGCATTAGTGGTAGCCTTTCCAATTTGAGATCTAGCTTTGCTGTATAATTAGTTTCGAATGAGTCTTTAGAAAGCCCAAATATGTATTGCATGACGTTATCGCATGACGTTATCGGCGTTACGCGAAAGTCAGGATGAAGAAAGGTGCGAACCAGAGTGGGACAACAGTTTAATACGGTCTCCTGCAACGAGCGACCTGTAAAGAATAAAAAATCGGAGCGCAGTATGAACAAGCTTCATACCAAGTGCTGAAAAAGAAAAAAATCAAGGAAAGGACTCAAAGCTTCATTGTCATATGATATAATTATTGTTTCAGATCAAGCTGAACAAAGTGTTACGTAGTTGAAGTGGTGAAAGCCCAACGTTTAAAGTCACCCCGAGGACGGATATTTTGCAGAAGCTAAGTACTGTGAGAAGAAGAACAGCATAACAAAGTAGTATCAGGTTGCTTTTTGAGTTCTCGAATTTGGTCAGGTGAGTGATTTTGGTTGGAACACTACAGGGCATTTCCAATGGTTTTCGATCGAAATGAGCAGTCAATTGCACCTCTGACTCGGCCCGACCCGACATCCATTCCTTTTATTTCAAATGTTAAGATATTTAATTTCTTAAAATTCAAGCAAAGTCTTTCGGATACGCCACTCAAACAGCGTTCTCCAGATATGACCAGTTTTCTTAAATCGTTCCTGATTTTCCTGTTCACTCGAATTATGCAATATTGCAGTAATCAAAATTGTCTTGTCATGCATGGTCCTGTCGCTAAATGTAAACAGAAGACATGGCTCGACCCTTACACCCATTCCATGTCATTTGGTAGTTAGCTAAATTCTTTAAGAAATATTTTCGTATAACCTGATACTGCTCTAAAAAAAAGCCGTGGTCCCAAGACAATCCATCGTTTTCGCTAGTGTTTTTTTGTTTTGTTTACATTAGCTGTACTGTATGCATAATGAAGTCTGATGTTGAGCGGAAATCTTGCCGTCTTTAACTTTCCTGGAGTGCATTATATAACCGAAGTAATCATCTTGTATTCTTCTATTATATCTGATTCAGTTCATCTGTTTTGAATGCCAATGGACGAAGTATACGTATCATTTTAACTGACATTTATTTTAAATTGTAATTATCTGAATATTTTGAAAATTTTCCACTTACCTTAAGTGTGGTGTGGCTTGTATGTACTGGATCACGACTTCTTGCTCCTTTGAATTCTCTCCATGACTATCACTGCTGTGCCTTGAATGTTTCATCGGTTTGATATTCATTCTTCATCGTTTCAGATTCTGATGACAGATAAAACTTAACATTTGTGAAAGTGATAACAACAAAATAGAACAATTTATTTATAATATGACACAATGTTACCATAGTACAACAGCAAGCCCCCATTTAAACCGGCTTTAAGGTGAACTAGACCAGCCTGTTTTTAACCCATAACACATCAGTATGCATATTCTCCATACTTGTCTTACTAATTACTCCAACAAGTTTATATTTAATTATAAACCATGACATGTATATTTTTTTAAGTGTTAGATTGTTACAGAACTAATTATGATAATTACTCTGTTTCTAATAGGCAGGCCAGCAATTTGTTTTTTCTTTTGTGTTCTTTCAGAACCTTTCAGCGACTGAAATATGCCTGTACCAGCATGGCTGAAGCTAGCTCGTCCCACAATAGAGCCAGTGATCTTTCTTTATGCTTATGGTCTTTTTATGCACTTGCCAGTTATTCAGCAATATGTGTACAAACGTGTTAGTGTTGCTAAGAACTTCCCCTACACATCGTCAACAAAGGAAAACTGCCAAAACCAAACGCTTAATGCAACTCTCAAAGAACTTGAAAAAGAGGTAACCTCATATAAAATAACTAGAAGTAGATATTTCATCATAAAAGTATTAAATTTGATAGACTATAATGCTTAAGTCATATGTGCTTATAATGAATTTGTTATACTATTGGTCAGATTGTGTTGAATGTTTTTTTATTTGCAAGAAGTTCAATATAATTGCAATTTTAAGATAATACTTAAACTCTTAATTTCCCAAGATCTGCTTGTTAGTTCTTCCCCCTAACTGCTACAAATGTCCTTGTGTTATACAAAAATACAAAATTGATTACAAGAATTTTGTGTTAGATTAGGTTAACTTTTACCTGACGAGTTTGAGTATTCTCATTACCTATTTGCTGGATGATGTAGAAATATTTTAAGGAGAAGTTACTTATAAATCACTTCTGGGAGTTTAAAGCATTCAAAACTTTTTCCTTTTAGGTGCAAGCATTATCTTCATACATCCATTTGGGAGTGGTCATGTTTGCATCAATCCCCTCAATTTTTACTGCTCTCTTTATTGGAGCCTGGACAGACACAGCAGGGCGTCTGCCTGCACTCGCCCTTCCTGCTATTGGAAGCACCCTTGAAGCTTTAGTTGTACTCCTTACAATGTACTTTGAATGGCCAATCTATGTGTTGTTTGTGGGAAGTGCCATCAGTGGCACATGTGGTTTTTTTACCACAATGGTGCTTGCAGTCATGTCCTACATAGCTGATACTACTGATGAATCAGAAAGGAGCTACCGGTTAGGTAAGGGTCTTGATAGAGATTGAAATGATGCTACTCTTCAGGAGCAGATAATTTGTTTTTAGTTACCCCCCACCGGGGCCTGAAGCCTCCTGAAAGTCCTGAGTGAAAAAGGGAGACATACTTGGGTCGATTTTCATTGGATATGTTCCACTGGCCTCTCAGAACCCCTTTCCCATTATAGTACATTCTGTGGCCAATAATTCACTGGCCCTATCTTAGTCATGCACTTTTGGGCGAATGTAATTTTCCTGATCCCATTAAAGTCACCTGCTTATGCATTTATCTTATAATGCCTTTTATGTAGATCATCTTGAAATTGCATGTGTGCAAATATTCAAATGCTGGTCTGAAGGAAGTTAAACAAAGGGTTCCCGTTTTGAAATCCTTACTTACCATAATTTTCTTTCTCCCAAAGACCCAAAAATGTGTGACTTCATTCTAGTAACTCTATGAACAATGTAACAGCAACTTAGTCAATCCAGTCGGTGAAAATGCACATCCCTATAAGCCTATTTTTAGGAAGCACCCCCAGGGGGGTTAACTCTCTCTTTTTTTTCTTTCTCTTCCACAGCCATCATGGAGTTGCTTGTATTCATTGGTGGAATGATCAGTCAACTCACCAGTGGTTTGTGGATAGAAAAATTCGGTTTTGTGGCGCCTTATTGGTTCATATTTGGCTGTCTCCTTGCATCAGTCGTTTATGTGATTCTCTTCGTTCCAGAATCGAGGCCTTCTACTTCCAACGGAGGCACAATCCGGAAACTCTTCAGTTTGAAAAGCGTGAAACGAGTGTGGTATGTGTACAAGTTTCCAAGAAACGGGGCGAGAAGAAACCTGATAATTTTCACATTGTCTACCGGTGTGGTAGTTCTTACCATTCTTGGTGTAAGCGGAGTGATTGTGCTGTTTTTGCTCCACAGTCCGCTTTGTTTTTCGGCAGAAAAAGTCGGATATTACTCAGCCTTCCGTTACCTTACAAGCGGCATTGGTGCAGTCCTTGGTATAAAGCTGTTAGGAAAGTGTTTTAATGAGGTCAACATTGCCAGAATTGGGATCATCTCCCTAGCATCAGCGTTGTTAGTGTTTGGGTTTGCAAGGAAGGAGTGGCTGGTGTTTTTGTGTGAGTGCTTGTGTTCGTATAAAACATATTCAAAGAATTATTTAAAAATTAATATTCCTTGCAAAAGCATCACATATCAGGTGACACTTCTATGGAATTTAGTTAAATGGCCTAGCCTAACATGAGTCTTCTATAGCTCGGTGGGAGAGCGTTCGAAGTAGTAATCGGAATGTCGTTGGCTCGACTTCTATTAGGAGTCCTCGGAGTGTTTTTTCACCGAGTATGCCTGTGCCATTCACTAAACAACATTACCTTTCACAAAATGAACTGTCATCACATTCGCAACCAGGGACATAGCCTACCGGAAGCCGCACCATCCCCCCGTGGAGAAACAGAAGGGAGTGAACCCATCCGTTTAAATAAGAAGACACTTTTCTCTTGATGTCCCGCTTCTTCATTTTATTCGCCTTGTGGGCCAAACAATAGACGTTATAAAGTGTCTCAAATTTTTCCTAACCGGCGTGCGGAAACTGGCGGGGCCAGGGAGAGAAATAATTGAGGGCGTTTTCCCGACAACAAAATTCACCTTCTGTTATTCACCCGCTTTTTCACCCCCCCTCCAATGACTGAATGCTAGAAACAGGTTACCTATATTGAGATCTTTATGATTCTGCTTTGAATTCTGACCTGTAAGCCATTTTTGTGGATTATTAATAGCAAATTTGTTTTATTTTGTATCATCAGCTCCGATTGCTGGCATATTTTCTGGAGCTGTTTCCCCCATTTTTCGTGGAATGATGTCAAGAAGTGTAGGGGAGAATGAACAAGGTTAGAAATCGAATGCCCATCTTAGACCATTCCCATTTTTCACATCATTGGAGTACTATTCGATTGAGTGTTGTAAAACCAAAACCAAAGCTATCAAAACGGCCAATTAGAGGAAAAGAAAAAATACCCCTGAAAACCAATGAAAACTTTGGAACTTTCAAATTTAGTTTACGCTCGAAGTCCCAGGAATTGAGTACTCTTCTCTTGCCAGAGATTTCGTGTTTTTAAAAATAATAATATTTCAAACAGCAGAACCAACCAAACTACTTAAAGCGTGGCAAAGCGATACTGATTGGTCGTGAGTTATTTTCGGCTTTGCATCTGATTGGTTGAAAGAGTGGCGCGCGATTTAATCGACCAATTACAGAGCGGAGTAAAAAAACTCCGCTGCAATCTCTGATTGCTCTTGACAGCCATTGAAAAGTACTCTTTAATGATACAAAGTTATTGGTTTATATTGTAACACGTCGGCTTGTAAGTGAAATTATCGATGCTAAACTAGAGGCTGCCAAAAGAAGTTAAACAACCAAAACATTTTTTCTTTTTCAGGAGCTTTATTTTCAGCTATAGCGTCATTGGAAACCTTGTGTAATTTTATTGGAGCTTTTATCTTCAACTCCATGTACCCGGCTTCGTTAAAATATGACTTCCCAGGATTTGTGTTCTTTCTGGGAGCTTTACTGTTGATTATGCCTTTATCACTCACATGGTAAGTATAAACACACATATACGAATGCTCTCTACAAATCCGTTTCAAACGTCAACGAGAGCATCGCCATTGCTTTTGGCTGTTAGAGCTAAGTTGTATGGAGTTTTCATAGTTCGGTTATTATTTGGGTTTTGTCTGACGCCTTCCTCTTGTTATGTAGTTCTCCGCATGTTATCCTAAAGGGTAATCACCAGAAAAAAGGGCACAAAATTAAGTAATCAGAACGGCTAATAAGAACATAAAGAGCTCTTACCAAGGGCCAATGAAAACTCAAAGTAAAAACAAGCAAACTGCATAAAGCGCGGGAAAACGTATGCGACCAAGTTGCAACTGATTGGTTGAGAGGGTGGCACTAGTTTTCTGGACCAATCAGGGAACTAAGCAAGTCAAAACTTATGCAGTGACAGATAATTTTCGACACCCAATAAGGCATTTCCGAATTACCTTTGGCCTCTTTTACAAAACGAGGCCTGGTGCGCAATCATTCTTGTGAAAATGAGTTTAATTTGCATGTGAATGAAAACTTATTATAATCTCAAAGGATGAGCACCAGGACTCACTTTGGAAAAGAGGATAAAGGTAATTCGGGAATGGGCTATTTTAAAACTACTCCGTAACAAGTAGCCAGCCAATGAGAACCAATGGCGGTTTGCTTCTGAAGCTTACGGCTGAAGGGAGTACGTGTAGTTTTTCCAGCTGCCAACCGGTTAAATCGGCATACTGTAGTCTATCACAGCTTTATCTGTTATAGGCACACACAATCATTCTTCTGTTTACTTCTGCAGCTGTTTAAAGAATCCTGCAAGCTTCTTGTCAAAGAGAGATTTAATTAAATCGAGCGCGCAGGATGACATGGCAGACAGTTTGATCATTGCAGGTGCTAGAAGTATATCAAGTGAGTCTGAAGGGTCACCGCTGCCCATCCCTACAGTGGGCGGAGGATATGAAGCGGTAGCGTAAAAAAAAAAAGGTGTTCGTGATGGAATTTAGAGTTCTGATTAAAAAAAAAAAAACGTTAAAGATATATCTATTCATTTTGGATTAAAACTGCTTATAACTGAGGTGGATATTTGACGAGGAGTATAATTAAGAAATAGAAAAAAATAGTACGCTTGTCAGAACGTTAGGAAATGGATATAGAACAGATTGGAGAATATGTTTACTGTGGCTGGGCGTAAAGGGTTAGAACACACTTTGTAGATATCTGGCAGCATGGCTGTGCATAGGCTCGATTTCCGCCACACTCTCAACTCCGGTGTTTCAGGGAGGAGCGCGGGCTCCAGTTCCCGAACAGCGGCTGGCAATCGAGCCTTGGCTATGCACTCAGTGTCACCAAAGGGGTAACTTACTTGAAGAAAATGTCCGAGATTTATTTTTATAATAATGTAAACCTGCATCTTGGAAACGTCTTCAACGGCCATTCTGCGCGAAACTCACGCGCCTTGTCAAAGCGACTCAAACCTTTTCAGTAACCAGGATTAGTATTCAAGCAACCTCGTTCCCAGGGCCGTTTCCCCTCGCCCCAAAGTAGGGGAAAGGACCCTTGGAAAGAGGTTGGTATTCCAGCTTTAACACATTCTCCTTACCCGTACTGTGTACTGGTGCGCAATGTTATTACTGAGTTAGTTTTACAAACATTATAAAACAGCTTTGTATATTAAAGTTTAGGGAAAGGTCATTGTTTATTGCCCGAGGAGGTCCAAGGATTTTGGTTGTCACCTGAAATCTATCTGATCCCCTCCCGCCTCGTGCGCCTGCTTAAGAAGGCTCTCTGACATTCTTATGATGTCTCCTTCCCTGGCAGTCAATTTTCAAAAGTTCCCCCCCCCCGTAATATTTTGTTTAGCGACGAATGATATCCTCAGCTGAAAACTATGTGATCCCCCAAATATCCTCCGACCCTCCCCCTGACGATTAATGACTTGTCCCTATCACTTTGATAGTCACAATTGCACGTATTTGAATTCGCCCAAGTCTTAGCATCCTTTATTAAGGTAGTGTCATGAGAGTGTAAATACACTTCATATGTAATTTCCTTACATTGTAGTGATTATTTATGAAGGAAAAAAATTTACTGAAACAAGATGTAATTCTTTGTCCAACAGAGATTAAATTAAGTTTTAAAACTGTTTACTCGCATTGTTAATCTAAATTTTGATTTAGGTTTCTTGATATGTAACGAAATTCGCCCCTCTTATCATTGATTTTAAAATTTATTTTGATAACAGTCGTTAATCTACAACATGCAAACTAGACCCAAACTTCTCTCGTTTTATACTCCTCTGCTACAATTGCGCTGTTTACTAGCGAGCTGTACTCCTGAACAGGCTAGCAAAGTAAGAGCCAACGAGAGCTTAGAGTAAATATAACTAAAACTACCTGAAAAGCGTTGGTTGAGAGAGTAGGGCGAGTTTTCTGGACCAATCACAGAGCGAAAAAGAAAACACCGAAACATCTCGGACAATTTTAGACATTCAATTGAAAACTGCTCTATCAAGCAAACAATTGTGCTATTTGGTTGGCAGAAATGCAAGTATACATAGTTTCTTCAGTTTATAGATGCCAAGCGGTGTTGATGGCAGAAAGTGCATGCGTGAAATTGTTAGGGCACTTCTGGAGAAATCACTCCTTGAATCCACGGCAAAAAGTCCTTGATATCAGTATAAACACCAGGCCTTCTGGCTTGTGCACAACCGACTCCCCAGCTTGTGGCTCCAACGAGGACGTACCTGCCCCTCTCCAGACACACAAAAGGCCCTCCGCTGTCCCCTTTACAGCTGTCTATCTTCCCCTGCTCGTACCCGGCGCAGATCATACGGTCTGTGACAATATCCCCGGTACTCTCCAGGTACTGCTGCTTACAGCGCGCATGCTCGATAATAGGAACCCGGGCTACTCGGAGTTTATTCGACGTCCAACCGGATTGATGGGTTCTGCCCCACCCGGTCACTGAGCAGTTTGTGCCCGGGGGGAAGTTGCTGGAAGCGGTTGGTAAACAGATGGGACTCATGGTCTCGTTATATCCCGGCAGGGGGGTGGATAAGCGGAGAAGAGCAATGTCATAGTCGAAGATGCTATGATCGTAACTGGGATGCATACAAATTTGGGCTATATCTGGAGAGAAAGAGAAAAACAAAACTTTAGTTCAGTACACAGATAAAATTTGGAAAGCATTTTCGGGTGAGTGTAGAGCATGAGTTTTGGAAGAAGCAGTGGCCCAAACGATTAGCGCGCGAGACGCTGTGTGTAAAGGCTCTGCCTCATCGGGTAAGGTCTTAGTGTTGTGTTCTTAAGAATTCAAAGAAACTTGACGCTTGAAGGCTCTCTCTCTATCCATAGGTATAAATAGGTTACAGTGAACTCGAGAAAGAACCTGAGCAAGTGTGCCAACAACTCAAAAGAGTTCTCCAACATAGTGAGAGAATTTGCCCACAACTTGAGGAATTCACAGACCTCTCAGGCGAGTTTGGCGACAACTTGACCTTGTTCTTCGGCACTTTGGGCGACATCACCAACAACTGAAAGGGGCTCACTTCCAGCTTGAGTGAGTTCACCGACAACTTGGGGGAATTCGTAGACTAGATGGGTTTACCCACGGCATAGGTGAGTTTACCGTCAGCCTAGGCGAGTTTGCCGACTGCTTAGGTGAGTTTCTCGACAGCTCAGACCATTTGATTGACAGCATAGATGAGTTTGTCAACAACTTAGAACCGTTTGCCAAACACTTGACTGACTTCGCCGTCAAATGACTTTTCAAATTTACATTCTAGTTAAAAAGCATTTTTCTCGTTTTTGTCTGATCATATGATCCATAAAAGAGGGTCAACTGGTGCACATGACAAAGAAAAGCGAGGGAGGGGCATGGGTATGGATGGGTGAGAACAATTTACGAAGATCTCTTTTACTAGCCTGTGTACAGCCGCCCCATCCCCTCCAAAAATCGGGAAGGGGGCCCCATTCCGGCCTTCCCGATTTTTTTGAGGGGATTGGGCGGCTGTACACAGGCTACTCTTTTACCTATCCCAACCTCCTTTCCCTCGCACGTTCCTTTCACTTTAGTTGCTCTTTCTGTAACATCCTGTTTTTAAGATACATTTTATGATGAATGTAAACATTGAACTTACTTTTTTGAACCTCATGCCCTTCAATGTTATCGACATCAAATTCTCCAATGATGATTCTCAAACCCGGATTCGGTGCTACACAGCCTTTCCTGCTCGGATTTTTACGGTAAATACAATGTGCAGCGGTCAGTACCCACTCCCGATTAAGAAGCGATCCGCCACAAAAAATAAAGTCATCGGTAAGAGTCTGGAGCCCAACTTGCCACGGCCAGTCCCGATTGGAAGCCACCTGACCTCCAACAATACGGCCCAGACTGTTCGAGTTGCCACACGTTTCTGCGAAAAGACAACAGCAGCATGTAGATGCATGAGGAAACTGAGGACTTTTTTACTAATCATCGATAACTCGGAGCTAACCCCAAAAAACTGACCAGCATCCAATTTCTCCATATGATAGAACCCTTGAATCAAATATCACGGTCAGGAGAATAAAGGAAACGATCACCAACTAAAGAAGCTCCTGACTGATAAACAAATTGCTCCTGTCAGGACCCTGGAGAAATTTAGAAAGAGCAGTATGGGAAACATGCATACTGATGTTAGAGTAAATGGTTAAACATTTGAAGTTTCGTTACGTACTGTTTGCCAAACAGTGGGCTGTGGTGCGAAAGTCACGTGAAAGCGTTGCAAAATAAGGCGAGAAAAAGAGATGGGAGACAGGACCTTAATTCCCAATATTTCTCATTTTATCTCGCTCTGACGTCACTTTTGCGTCACAGTCCCCAGAATACCGATCCCACGAGTGATAATCTTTACCATTTCTCTACTTAAATTATAATGAACCGAGATGTGAGTTTACATATTCTTTATTCTTGACAACCAGTGGTTTAGAATTGTAGTGCGCTTGCTCTTATTTGTTTTTAATATTTTTCATACGAGCACCGTCGGATAAGAATGTACCGATCTAGGCTTCGTGGAGGGTTTCGGAGAGGGGGAGGGGTCATATCATGGTTTTCAGGAAGAACAGAGAGGCGATCAGCCTTCGCTAACAGAGTCTAAAGGGGAGACTATGGAGTCTAAGGGGGATCAGGTAAATTTATCGTAACTTAACCAAAATCTCCGACCCCCTCCCCCACCTCTTTAGTACGCACGACGTTTAAGGAGAGGGGCTCCTTCCAAACCCCTCCGCCACCCCCACCCTCCCGCTCGTACAGTCGGAGTTCCGCGACGTCAAAACAATTATGACTCCTAACATAAGTGTGGTTGTGGTGTCATAAGAAGACTCTTAAAAGGTATGGCGTACACCAACATTTTTACGGACGAACTAATATTCCGTCCCTTACAGCTTACAGAGGTTATGACAAGATAGTACATTTTTTAGCATCTAGTCTCTTAACTTATAATTCTACAGAGGTTCCCTTGTTAGCGAATCCTCTACAAATATTGACTTTTCACCCAATCCTGTAAAACTACAAACATTTGGAGGATCTATAGAACGGGAGAGAATCTCTACAAAACAACGCTGTACTCTATGATTGGCAAGACTGGTTATATCGAGCTTTACCCACGCGAATACAGTGGTCAAACGTCTACACATGCGCGAACGCTGTAATGACTAGGTGGCGTGCTTTCCGGATTTCAGAACCAAGTTGTCTCACACGAGTTACGAACATCCGCACAAACCAGTGAGTCATGGTTTCTGAAACGCGCATAACGTTTTGGTAAATCAACAGTATACCCGTACTTCAATAAGCTTAGTGTTCGAAAAGTCTCGTGTTTTCTTTTTTCCAACTTTTGTTTCCTTTTACTTATTTCTATGAGCGCTTCAATTATCTATCGCTTATTTTGCGAGACAGAGGTTGTTTCTTACGCGTTCTTTTTAAGTTTTGGGCGGGAAATTGGCACGCGGCTGGCCATAGTTGATCCTTTGCGCATGCCCAACGTTTGACATCTGCATTATCTAACGTCAGTAGGTCAGCGGCCTGCCTTAAGATTCTTGGATTCAGATTCTTTTCTCGATTAAGCGCTGAAGGCGACAAGCTGAAAGACTTAAATGACGAAAGCTGTGATGATTATGACGACGTTGATAATGTTTGTATTTTACCTAAAGCCTGTTTTTTTTTTTAAGACTAAACGACTTAATGGCAGCACTTATCCCTAGAACCTACGCAAAACGTTATTGTTTTAAGGCGAAATTGTAACGTCAGTATCTGAAAAACTGGGCACCCACCCCTCCCCTAACCCACCATTGACCCTAACTTTTTATTAGCTGCCCACTGCTGTTAGGGGAGAGGTGGGTGTGTAGCTGCTCAGCTGCCAAACTTTTTCTAAACTTCACGGTTACTTGATACATAATAATGTGAATAGCTAACGCCTATTTCAACAGGAAAGCTCTTCCACGTTCCCCCTAGCCGCTCCTCATGGCCAAATCGATCCAAGACTGAAAGAAAGGAATGTTGGCGTAAACTCCGGGCTGATTCCTTTGGGCGCATCCAAAACCCCAGCTTACAGCCCCAGCCAGGACAAAAGCGCCGTTTTCCCAACAAGCCAAGGGACCACCACTGTCACCTTGGCAACTATCGATTCGACCCTGTTTGTAGCCAGCACAGAGCATGCGTCTTGTAAGGCTCTTTCCTTGGTACATCTTTTTGCACTCGTTGTGCTCAATGATCGGGACTTGGGCCACACGTAGTTTATCAGATGTCGGCCCTGCCTCCCGTATTTGGCCCCATCCGGTCACATAACATTGAGAACTGTTGGAGGAGGCCCACGATGAGCTTGGCATACATATGGGACTCACAGCGTCGGAATAGTTCACTGGTTTGCCAAGGTGAAGGAGAGCTATGTCGTAATCCATTGTTATCTCGTTGTATTTTTGATGGATACAAAGTTTCGATAGACCTAAAGTAAATAGAAATTAAGATGAAGGCTCAGTGACAGTTTTAAAAACCAGTAATTGATAGATCAGAGAAAAATCCAAGTTTTTATTATCATTATATCGCTCCGGGGATGATTCAACCGTTTTATTCCAAAATGTGACTAAAGAGAATTTTTCTCCAAGACATCAATACATCTTTAAGTAGATAGGTGACGAGAAAATAAAAATCGTTTGATTCAACACCAAAGTTAAAGGAAAAGTATGGCAGATATTACAGAGAATTTGATACTCTAATATTGGGAGTGAAAAGGTAAAACCCTCAATTTTCAGAAGTGATCAACATGTATCTTCTCCCGACGATATCCATAGATTACCCAGGAAACGGGTAGAAACAGTGCTCAAACTTGTCAGGTAAAAGTGACAACAAATTATCGTACCTGAATTTACAAGGAGATGTGTAGCGTATAGAGGGGACAATTAACAATCAGATCTTGGGAGTTGAATTGTAAAGACACAAAAGTGTTCTCTATACATTTTTTATGGTGCTGACAAGGATAACTTGTTTAACAATCAAGAGCTGTTTTAGTTGGTTACCATTTCATTTATTCTCATGTCCTTATTGATTGATTTACGGTGTGATGCTATAAAGCTACATTAGAGAATGAAAGAGCTCTAAACTCGGCCACGCCCGACCTTGCCTTTTCCCTCTTGAACCTGATAATTTAGCTTACAACTGCTAGACACAATTATAAATAAACACAGTATTACCTCTTGAGATCTCGTGTCCTTCGACCTTCTTTACATCAGACTCTCCAAGAACAACTTGAAGTCGCCGATTGGGGACTGGGTCGACGCACATCTCATTTTTACGCCCTCTAAGAGCGAGATCTTTAACACAGTGAGCAGCGGTGAGCACCCATTCTTGGTTTAGCAGCGAGCCCCCACAGAAAATTCCCCCGCCATGGGATAACTTGAGCCCAACCTGCCACGGCCAGTCTCGAACGTGAGTCACTCTACCACCCACAATACGGCTCGACGTCAAGGTTGAAGGCGATTGGGCTTTCTCTTGTATGAAAGAGAAAAGGAAAAGGAAAACGTGTTAACTGAAGACTTGCGATGACAAAGCATAGAAACAAACAAGCGTACAATCCTCTTGTACATAGAAAATGAGTGAGGTCTAAAGAAGGAAAATGAAACAAAAAACACTTACTTGGACACTGTTCCTTGTCATAACCATACCCCTTGCACGGCCGTCCCCCATGTTCGGGTGGTGGCTTGATGCAGTATCTTAGTCGCGTTCGTGTCTCTATTCCGCCGCAGCCTTTAACGCAGCTGCTCCATCGTCCCCAGTTTCCCCAATTCCCGTGAACAACTGCAATCAATGAAGATTAAAACAATAGATGTTCAGTTCGAAGTTTTCAAGAAGCACAAACAACGAACGAGCCGTGCTATAAAACTAGTGCCTCTTGCAGACGTCCAAAATGGGAATCACGCATCACTCCCCTGATGGAGATCACGTATCATGGAAATTTCTTGGGAGTTTTAAAAGGAGCGGTGAGTATAGGAAATGATCGCAAACTTGAGAAGCTCTTGATTGTGATAAAAATTATCTCCTTGCAAGTACCGTTGAGAACAATGTGGAGAACTATAACTGATGCTAAAGTGTAAAGTTGGCGAGGTACACAGATTGGAGCCTAACGGCAGATGACTCGAAGATTGATAAGTCGAGAGAAATCGAATAGGAAACATACAGGGCCCAGTTGTTCAGAGTGCGGATAATGCTATCCACAGGATGGATCGCTATCCGGCGAATGAGTGTTGACAAAACATACTGCGTTGTCTAGCGGATAGAGATCAATCCAGCGGATACTGGGCGTTATCCACCCTTTGAAGAACTGGAGCCAGACGGCTACTTCATTCGCTTCCAGATCCTTGTGCGATGATTCTATTTTGCAGGATGTTTCTGCAGGAGTTTAATAATATGTTTTTAGCTCAGGAAACTAGCTCTTACCATAATCACCAGAGATTTGATCATCGCTTCCGTCATCTTGACCATCATCGTCAAAACTGCGACCGTCGTCAATTGTGGTCCAAATTGTCTGAAAATGGGAAATGCAAATACTTCATTGTTTCCCTTGTGAAATGGCCAAAGAAGGACTCTCACTTTTAACTCTTCAACTCCCATGAGTAACCAAGACAGAATTTCTCCTTACAATATCAATGCCGGCAATATCGAGCAGACAAGTAAGGAGAATAAAGAAAAAAAAAAAAATCAGGGGATTATCAGTTGACACAATACCAAATTCTCCAAGGTAACATCATAAGAATTGTATGGCAGACAGAGAAGAGAACTACCTAATGAGATCTTGGGAGTGAAGAGGCTAATCAATACATTTAAAAACCGAAAACTGATAAAAAGGAAAAATACACCTCTTAGGGGATTTTTTCCAAAATTTCACACCAAATTTCTAGCGCTAAATTTTAAGAAAAGTACGGCAGACGGTGAGCATATCTGAATA